CATTATCAGGCAAAAAACTATTGTTCAGCAACTTATTTAAAACAAATTTTACAAAAATTTTATAGTCCATAATTTTATTTTAATATTGATATATTTTTTATAGTATTTCTTTTCAAATTTACAGATGCTGTATATATTGGAACGTTACATCCTCAACACTTTGAAATTGCCAAATTAATGTTAAATCATGGAAAACATGTTTTATGTGAGAAGCCTTTAACTATGAATCTAAAGCAAACAACAGAATTAATAAATTTAGCAAAAGAAAAGAAATTGTTTTTAATGGAAGGTATTTGGAGTAGATGTTTTCCTATATATGAAATAGTTAAAAAAGAAATTGAATCTGGAAGTATTGGAGAAATTTATCAAGTTTTAGTATCTTTTGGATTTAAAATGCCTGATGTTGAACGATTGAAGTACGTAATGATCATTTTTTATATTAAAAATAAAAAGCTTAAAAATTTCTATAAATTTCTATGTATCTAAATAATTAAAATAATTAAAATTTCAAAAATTGCAAAAATAAATTTATATATTAATAAACATAATTTAATTTATGATGTTTTTGAATATTCTGCTGTAGAAAATATATCCTAACTTTCGAATTTATTATATTATATTAAAAAATATATTTTTTTTTGCTTAGTATAAAAAATCTGGGAGGAGGAACTGTATTGGATTTAGGAATATATGGAATACAGTTTGCTTGTTTAATATTTGATAATGAAATGCCTCATACTGTACAAGCTACTGGTTGTTTGAACGAAGAAGGAGTTGATCAATCTACATCTATTAGTTTTCTTTATAAAGGAAATCATACTGCAACTATTCTTACTCATTCCCGAGTTGATTTGCCCAATGAAGCTTATATTATTGGTACGAAAGGAATGATAAAAGTGCCAAAGTTTTGGTGTCCGACGACTGTAGAATTGCCGAATGAAATAGTAAATGTTTCTCTTCCTGAAACTAAATCCAAGTTTAATTTTATTAATAGTGTTGGATTGAGTTATGAAGCCAATGAAGTTCGCAATTGTATTCTAAAAGGTATTGTTTTTTTTTATTTATTTTAAATTAATAAAAAAATATTATTGAAATGTAAAAGTAAATTATTTTTATTTTGATTAATTTAAAAAAAGAAGAAAAATTAAAATATATTTTATTTTAGCATTTTAAAAAAATTTTATTTGCACGATGACATAATATCGTTTTCGAATCACTCAAATAATTAGTTGATGAAATTTAGGTATACTAATTCTATATATTAATTAAAAATTGTTTGTTTAATAGTCTTTTTTCATTCTAGGTATGATTGAAAGTCCTAAAGTACCACATAATCTTTCTTTATTAATTGCACAATTAGAAGATGAGATTCGAAAACAGATTGGAGTTACATATCCTGAAGATTAAATTACTTTGAGAAAATTATTTTACTTGATTTAATATGCTCGATAAGAAACATATTGAAACTTAAAAAAAATATTTTTATATAATAACAATAATATATATATATATATATATATATACACAAATTATATTTAATAATATCTATTGAAAATAAATATGTTGCACGAATGTATTTTATTTTTATGATATTTATTCTTATGTTTATTTTATAATCCATTTGAGAAACGGTGCATAAATTTTTTATTTCAAATAAACTGTGTTAGTACATTATTATATCATATATCCATCGGATATAAAAAAAGATAAAAGAATCATATAAAATATTTATAAATATATAAAATAGCAGATCAATTTTAGAAAAATAATAAAAACAAAAATGTTCTTTTATATTATATATTTTTCTATGTATAATTTTTAAATTTAATATTATTTTGACATATATATGGATAAAATTGATTGTAAATTATGTTTTTTTTTTTTTTGATAATTCAATCATCTAATTGACATAAACAAGCTACTCCTCTTTTAATCCAATGAGATTCTTTGACTTTCGTCGGGAGCAAAATATATAATACAAAGTTAGAAGAATGACCAGTAGTAGCTAAAACACCACGTCTTTCACTTGTTTTATATACAGGACAATGATACATGAATTCAATAATAAATTCAGCTTTTATACCAGGTTTCAACCATATTATAGGAAGAAGATCAAACATTATTTTCGGTTTAGATTCGTCAATTTCTTTTATCTCTCTATTCCATCTTGCTCCTTCCATATATAGACCCTAAAAATTCAAATAAATTTTTTAAAGATAATTTTATATATTATAAATAAATTAATTTCCTTTAATATATAATAATACTATCATAAAAATTTTATATACTATTTGATTCTTATATTATTTCTTAAAAGAATATTATTTCTTAAGAAAATTTAATACATAAGTTTCTTTATGCACATTATTAATTCTAGTATAGATATAAAAGTATATCGATCTCAAAATATTCATTAACGCGTTCATTTTCCATTATTAATATATTATTCGAATTTTCGGATAAATAATAGCGCCATAAGTTCATCTCTCCGATAGTTCATTCTTTTTTTTTTCTTTATCTATATCCTTACAATTTTATTCTATATCCTTACAATTTTCAATTTTTTTTTTTATTTAATTATAATAATAAAAATCTTACCTTTATGTAAACGCCATAAGATGGTGCAATGTCGATATCAGTCTCAAACTCGGTTACTTCAAATTCAAAATCTAATTTATCAATTGGAATTTTATGTCTGCGGGCATAATTTTGTAAAGCACCCGTAAGAAAAGATTGTGTGAAAAAAAATCCAGATATCCAAAATACAATTGGTGCATCATAATCAATCCAATTTTGAAAAAAGTTTAATCTCTCTATTAAATCATTAATATAACTTCCTAACGGTTTTAGAGAAGGATAAGACACTTTATTCCAAGTAAGCGGCACTTTACCGATACTCATACTCGAAAAAATTTCTTCTAATTCAAAGGACATCAAAGTTAATCCTTTAATGGCTTTTTGTACATCAGCTAATGTTATTTTAATCGTATCAACAAGATGATTAAATTTAATAAGTTCTTGACGCAGAACCGTGTTCATACTATTTATATAGAGTACTGGATATTTTTTAGCTACTGCTATAATATCAAATTTTATCTTCAATTTCGATGAAATATCATCGCATAAATTATAAACCATTTCGTCGATATCCCTTTCAACTCCCACTCCAGTAATATGCGGCTGTGTCAACAAAGCTCCTCTAAGTAATTGCAATGATTCGTGATTATCTTTTGTTATATCTGCATTTTCATGTAAACCAAATACTTCTGGGTGTTGAGTAATAGGTAGATTATAAATATAATCTAAACATCCATGATGATCAGTATTTTCTGGTAAACGGTATATACAACTTGGTGAAAAACAATATCTGTATTAAAAATAGTTAAAAAAGTTGATGTATTAAAGTATATATTAAAGTTCATTTAAAGTAAAATATATTCTCGAATGAATAAAAAATATATATATGTAAAGCGTATAATTTACTGTGGATTGATAAGAACTTCCTCATTGTAATATTCTCGTAATAACGTATTTAACAAACGTCTATCTTTATCATCAGTCACACGACCACCGTAATTGCATTCACCAGTCAAGTAAAGAAGTGCATCAAATGGTACCTCTTCATAATCGTCTAAAAATAGCTAAAAAAAGAGAAAAGATAAAAAATTGTTATAGAATAATTTTTAAAAAGACGTTACATTTGATGTATAAAATAATATTTCTTGATTATTTATTAATTAATTATTTTTAATTATTTTCTATATAAAATAGTTAATACTTGTACCATTATGATACTATACGAATATATCTCATGCTCGTAAACTTACTTGCAATTGTAAAATACTAATACGAAGATCTGATTCATTGAATTCATAAGGAATGTTCCAACCCAATGGTCCAAAATTACGTCTTTCTTGAATAACAGCATGAAAGACGCATAGAGCAAAAAGTAAGCTCCTCCAATGACTTATTTTAGTACAAAGATTAAAGAAAACTGAATCCGATATTGGATCATTCATATAACTCCTCAATAAATTACTCTTCAATCCTTTTGGCGGCTCGTTAGTCATTTTGACTGCATTTTGCAATATAGAAATTGGAAAATCCTTGGATGGATAGCTGGTTAACCATAATCGAAATTTATCATGCGTATTCTCTGGTGTAATAATTTCATCGCAAATTGCGTCCAATTCTTTCATCCAAGAAATTGCCAAGTGACAATTTTGAAGAACTACCCATTCTCCGGTTTGTATCCCTTTATTTATCATATTTATAGCTATAGGACCCTGACCTTGTCCCAATGATATAGTCATTAAATGCTCTTTTGATATTCCATAATCTTCCGCAAATTTGATTAAACTCGCCATTGGATCAGATCCAGGAGAAAGAATGAAAATAAGAGGGCTCACGTTGGTTGAATCGTTATAACATGCTTGAAGATTGAACGGAGGAGGTTCTATGAAAGAACGATCCATATTATGTGCAACAAACATTCGCACAGCAACTACAATTTTATCTGGCCTTATGCATTTAAGTATGACCAACTTTCTCAAAGTCTCGGTCTCATCCTGATACGGCTCTGGCAAAATCTCCTCTTGAGGATTAATCGAGTCGAAATAATGTTTCCATTGCAGTGTGTGCGTCTCGAGAGATTTTTTTAATTTTTCAACGTTAGGCAAATTTGTAGCTCTAACTACATCGGCCCAAGATTTATCGCTTAACCAAGAAGGATCAGGATTAGGGTAAGGATTGTCCAGAACTACATCACCCGCTAATAAAAATGTGCAAAGATCTTCTTCGATTTTATTATCGGCACGTAAAAGGCCGATACATAAAACGAAAGAAAATATCAATTTATCCTTTTCGAATAAAGAACGGCACACGTTTCTGTAAATACTAGCCGTAAAATATGTATTTAAGCTTTTTATTCGAATCTCGAGATCATCGCTATGTTCACTTTTAGCTATCGACATTTCATACAGGTGAATGAACCACGGTAAAGAGTATTGGTACATAGGATCGATATTTGCTAATTCGGAAATACAAAAAAATAAAACGGAACCATGCTCGGAAGCAGGTTTATATTTACCACGGGCGAAATCAATTTCTAACGCCGTATTAGCAGCTATTTTTTGCTTAGCTTCGATCTCCTCAGCCAATCTCTTTGAGGTCGACAAGATTGTAATAGCCGTTTCATCCTCGAGAATATTCCCTTCCGCTACAGACAAAACTTCTAAAATTTTATTCTCTATTTCCTCCAATATTCTTTTGTTATTCGCTTCTTCCACGATTAATTGATTCTTTCGTTCTTCGAGAACAGGCAATTCTCGGGCTACGACGATACCTAATAATTGATCCTTAAGTCCTTGAGGTGTAATCATAAAATTTAACAACGTTACTTTCACAACTATTTCTGGCAAATAATGAGGATTTCTTAAACGCGTTGTAATGTAAAATCGAAAATTAGGATCATATTCGATAACATTTTCTCCAAATTTTATATATAAAACACCACGTTCTTTATAAACGTTTTTGAGAAGCACAGGTTCCAATATCGCATCTATTTCTTCAAAAATATTTTCCAACAAAACAGGTATGCCAATCTGTATAGCAGTGTCTACTATTTTCACGTAATTTGGATCAGACAGTTTAATCACCGCCAAATTATTCTCTCTCTCCATATTTTTTACCCATTTATTTGCCTGGTTTTGCGGATCGATCATAAGCGGCCATCGATCCGCGTTTTTCACGATTATAGCATTCTCAACGGAAAAATGATCCGCTGGTAAACCAAAAATTATCCATGCTCTGATCTCCACCGATTTACCCAAAATATCGATTAAATCAAACTTTTGTCTGCATGGGATTTTTATTTCCACGCAAGATTTATGCCATTCCTCGATTAATTTATTTCGATATTCTACGGTGAAAGCTCCGAAATAAGCAATTACCCCTGAAGATAACAAAACATCTCCGATAACGTTATACAGACTCGCGCCTAGCATAATAGCCGTTTCCTGCCATCTATGTTTCTCCCCGCTTAAACCGCCTAGCAATTTTTCAGCCCTTTCCAACTTTTTCATACAGTAATCAATCTGATCCTCGAGCTTCTTCTTTTCTTTCATGCACTCGACAAATTCATCGTTCAACGCTTGCAATTTCTGAGTAACTTCCAGAAGCAATGCTCTTTTAGCGTTCAAAGCTTCCATTTGTTTGGCAAGAGCAGCCTCGGCCTCTGCCAGCATCACTTGTTTAGGCTTAACGACTTTAATCACTCGATCGTAAACCTCGATCGCTCGTACCCATTTGCAAAGACCTTCGCAAGCCGTCGAAACTTTCTTGATAGCCTCGGGTTGAAAACTTCTGTCGTTTATAAATTTGTCCCGAATTATCTTCATATACGCCGGCGGTATGTTATCCTTGTCAAAGTTCTTCAAGCTGTCGAGAAACTTCAAATCGCCCAATATCCTTATGGAAGCTGGCCAGTAATCTTCCACGACTCGGCCGGTCGCCGGGTCGGTGACCCTGTCAGGTTTAACACCTTTCAAAACGCAAATAGCCTCCATCACCAATCTTACACCTGCCGGTGGAGCCTTCATAGCTCGTACGATACTGATATCCGCCGGTTTCAAAGTATCCAGCGCGGCTAATGCAGCTTCCAACGCAGGCGTTGCTTCGGCCAAATCACTCTCACAATCATCCTTTATAGCTTGTGCAGCGGCAGCGGCCTCGTTCGCCAAAGCTTCCTCGGCAGCCACGACTTCTTTTCTCGCCTCGATGTTGATAGTGTCCTGTTCGATTTTGATCATCAGTTGGTTGCTCAATTCCGACTGAGCTAGCAATTTTGGTTGCAACGCTTGAAGTTCTTCCTTCATTAATGCTATTTCGTTCGCTGCGAAATCCAACCTTTCCAATCCCATCTCGTATCGCCTTTGCTGCGCGGTGATCTCTTCTATTTTCCGATCGTACAATTGGCAAAACGATTTGATAAGCTGTAGGAAACTGGTCGGTGTTACGTAATACCTTCTACCTTGCGTGATAAAATAATCCTCGCTGGCCAATGAGATACTTATATGGAACTTTTGTGAAATATTAACACATTTTTCTCGTAAACTCGAACTGATATTGATATTTTGTAACGAAACTCGTGCTACCTTTTCCAGGGCATCCTCGGGCCAAATGGTAAACCAATCAATGGTGCAGCAATTTATCAGCGAAGGGAACATTCTCAAACGATTTCGAAATTTATCTCCTATAGGAGACATCGTTAAGATCAAGTGGAGACATTTCTTTATTCTTTCGAGAAATAAGTTATAAAGTATCATAGGAGTGACCTCGATTTTCCTCCCTCCTATGGCATGCATTATGGTCGACATTTTATCCAAAATTTGAGCTTTTTCCTCGGTATCGTATAAATTTGGCACGTCGGACGTGTTCAAAATCATATTTATATCTTCGACGAACAATTCGTCTTTGATCTGATGGTCACCGAAAAGGAAAGAAGTAGATTTTCCATCGCATCCTACGCGCAACAACAAATTCTTCACATCCTCTCTCCATTCCGAAAATTCGTAAGTCGTGGTAATTTCTATATTATAGAGAACGTATTCGCTCATATGTGTCGCTAATTTAGCGCAAGAACTTCTCCCTGATCCACCTATTCCTATTAAAAGAGCATGTCCATTTTCTTGCTGTAATATTCGAGAAACTCGAGAAATATGGTCAATGGCGTATCTGAACAAAACCAACGGCATCGGCGTTTTAGAAAGCATATTGTACTCCGTTAAATAATATTCCATTTTTTGCTGCAAATCGTACAAGTCTTCCACTTCGTCGTATACTTTGGGAACAGCGTCAGGATCTATGTAATTACCGAACAACAGATCTTGCATGTGAGAACTCGTAACGTCTTTCTCTCCTTTTTTTAACAGTCTACCGAGTACTTTTGCCAACGGTTGACGTAATTGATCGTAACAAGTGAAGTGAACCATTGTGAACAATTTTTCCCGATCGGCGGTATCTATTAGCCTATCGTGAAAAACCCTGTATATTTCATGAACCCAAAGTCTGATTAATTTATCCGGCTCCTTTATCCTAGGGCCTGGGACCAAAAGTATACCCTTGATAACGCGGCTAAAATCGCGCAAATTGAAAGTATAATGACTCTTTGCAGGTGTCGGTAGAAACGTTCGTATTGCGCCGAGATATATGTCCATTGTCGCGCTCACTACCATTCTTCCCAATCTCGAGACTTCCGGCAAAAATCCTTTCGCGAAATGTGACTCGAGAATTGAAAAGAATATTTTGCTCATTGTCACTTCTTCGAAAAAATCGATACCAATTATTTGCATGTGTCGAAGCAATCTAGGCGTGACTACGTTCGAACCACCTCCAGGTGGTAACATGGCACAGATCAAAAACATGTCCACTAAATACAACGTTGTTGTATCCTTTAGATTGTACCAATGGCCGTGATCTATCCATTGACGAATGAGCTCGATCGGTGGCTGAGCCCCATATATTTCTTTCATTGGCATGCTTAGATCGTCGACGAACAAAACGCATTTCTTCCCCATTTGCGGTCCAAACACACCTTTCCTTCTACGATCTAACTTTGACATTACTATCTCTTGAGTTTGATTTGCAGTGGTACGCGCGCTCAAATTTATAATATTTTCAATGTATCTATCTCTGGGTAGAAATTCTAAGTAATTTAATACAATTACGGATTTCCCGGTGCCAGTTGGCCCGACAAATAAAATAGGTATTGATCTGTGGAGAAGATGAGTCATGAAGAAATATTGGATCACTACTTCGTTTGTGGGCACGATTAATTCGGATTTTACATCTGGTAACAGAGACTCCTAAAAAATATGAAAATGCATATAAATTTAAATTTATTGTTAAATTTAAATTATATCGGTATAAAAAATAGTTTTCGGTAGAAAAGAAGTCTATATATATATATATATATATATATATATTATTACATGAAATTATTTTACACGTCAAAGTGTTCATTCATTACCTGTAATAATGTGTCCATCCATGGTATCCAGGTTCCATTATTTCTTTTATCATATATCCAATCGTAAACGGTTCCTTTGTCAGGGAAGATCTGTTGTTTCGTTAATTTAAACGCTTTCGGTCTAGGATGTTCTTCGTCGTTTCCAAGTAATAATTTTCTTAAATAGACGTCGAAAATTTTTCTACTATCGCTCGTTAATGTTGAACACATTCCCCAAACTAAGCTGAATAATAAAACGCATTGAAGCCAAACTGTACTAACTTGTACTTCTCCGTCCAACATTGCGGTGAAAAGTTTTGTAAAAGACTAAAATATTTATAAAATATATATATATATTTTAAACAAACTTTAATCGAATCTAAACGTTAATATAATTAACGTTAATAATAAATTAATAATATATTTTTATTTACCAGAAACATATGAAGTTCTGACACCTCTACAAATATTTTGCAATATATATGTATAAAAAATAGAATTGGTTTGGTTAACCATTCGATCAATTCTACGATCAATTCGTACTGCTCGATAAGTAACTTATTCCTAAGATACGTTTTGTACGAATTAAATAGCGCGTGCCAACCAAGTTCGGATGGCTCCATGTAAATCATGCCGCATCTACTAACGGTAGCTGGCGAGGCATGCTCCAAATCGGCCGGCTCAAACATCATGTTCATCTTAACTGACATTTGAATAATCTCTCCGGACATCAAACAAAGTTTCTTATTATCATCGAGAACCGTATTCATGCTCTCGATCCATACAGCATCAACGGGACCATCGAAAACTATCCACTTCCGGTCCACCGATATAGATTGCGCAAACTCTCTAAAAATATTGGCTAAAACACCATCACTCCACTCATGCGATATCGGATCGAAACTACCATAAAGCTGATCCAACGTAATAGATTTTGGATTAATTATCTTGTAAATCGTTGGAAATTCTCTCATGACAACGCGTCTTCTACCAGATAACTCGCCCAATGATTCGGCTAAAACTTGATACGCCTGAGTCTTTCCGCTCAAGGTGTGGCCTACGATCATCAAGCCATGGCGTACCAATAGCATCTCGTAAATTTGAAGTATTTTCTCTATGTACCAAGGCGTGGGCTGAAGATTACGTTTGTTTAAAATGATAAATATTATTTCTATTAATTCCTCGCGATGCGGAGGTGGTAAAATGGTATCTGGGAAGAGATCCGTGTATATTCCATTGAACAAAGGAATATCTTGAGCCAAAAATTTCGGTAGATTGACATCGATGATCGCTTGAAGAACCAAAATAGACTCATTCTGTATAGGGTATTTTAACTTTAAGTTTCCAGCTGCGATGAGTACGGTTTTCACAGCTCGCATACCATAATCGTAATGATTTTGCGAGCTTAATTGTTCAGAACATAATTTGTACGTATGAACTATCTTCTCTGCCAGATTTTTTGCATCTATAAAACCAAAAGAGTACAAGGTGATCTCTCCTATCATGGCATAATCTGGCACCATCATCGCAACCGTACGGAAAAGAACTTTCAAATTGTCAGGCAGTTCTTGACGGCCGGCATAACCGGGATTCATTGTTATGATAACGTAACATGTAGGGTTCAGCTTTAATTCTGTACCTTCGAATATAAATGTCTCCAATTTTGCACTTATAGCCATCTGTATGGTTAAAATTTGTTGTGCAATCACCGAAAGAACTTCCAAGTCTATTCTATTAAACTCATCGAAACAGGACCACGCTCCTGATTGTGCAAGCCCCTTGAAAAATTTACCCATTGCTTGAAAATCGAGCCCCTCCGAACAATTAAAAACGACGCATTGCTTGGCGACAGCTTTGGCAAGATCTTTTGCCGTTTCTGTTTTACCAGTTCCTGCTGGACCTTCGGGCGAGCCGCCCAGATTTAATTTTAAAGCGCTCATTAGAGTTCTGTAACATCGATCGGTTAACGGAGTTATCACAAGTCTTGATGTATTTCCAAGATATTCAAACGCATATGCTACCGTGGTTGTGATCATAGAAACGATAATGCTGTGTTCCACCCAGTAATATCTTAACTGTGATATCCAATCAAAATCCATAATGTTATTTACTTTTTTCTCAATGAGTAGACGTAATACATCTCGCGCATGAACATCTATTACGATTAAAGCGTTTATCGTTATCCTCGCGCCAGCCTCCAGTCTACCTCTAACTATAGTAACTGTTTTTTCAATTTGATGATTGCACTGGTCTAAATATTCCTCGGTAGTTTTATTTTCGAATGATTCGCAAACTTCGCTAGTCCAATGTATCTGACTACAACAAATAACAATTTGACCAGGCCAACTGAATATCCATTCCTCTCTAGGTGTATCGAAATAAGCGATGATACTTTGCTCGGCAATATCTCGAAGCGAGGCTATCATTAATGCTTCGACTTGGCACAACCATCTCTCGACCATTCCTTTAGCATCCGCTGGATAAATCTTACCACTAAGAGGAACGTATTCATCCTCGGCCGATAACATTCCAATAATTTCTTCATCTTTGGTAAATCGTAATTTACTAATACCTTCGAAACATTTCCTTAAATGAGGCTGCACTCTCTGAGGATCTTTAGTTTCGGACAATATCTCCAAAAGTTCGTCGTTTGATAGGAAGAAAAATCTTGGAAAGAACAAACGTTTCTTCTCGAGATATTCGTTTAAACCTTTCTGTATCTCGTCCAATAATGAATTACATAATATTAATTCTTGTAATATGTTCGGCATATCGGTAACTTTGAGCACGTAAGTATGTTCGTAAGCGTACGCTGTAATTTTACGCCAAATCTTGTCCATTCTACGAAAATTCTTAGATTCCGTCGGCATTTGGCGTACAATATCTTCACTGCTAAATATAGGTTCTAAGTACATCCAAGTTGCTTGACATGTTAACCATTGATCGATAATGTCTTGCATCAACAACAATTTATTTTCCCAAATTTGCATTTCCTCTTCGAAAGCTTTTATGAAGGGAGAACTTCTCATAGTTTGAGCTTTCAAAATATGATCGTCCAATAATTGGTGAATATCATCAATAGCAGTTAATATAAAAACACCGGTTTCACGATACGGTACAAATTTAAATTCAATTTCTGACCACTCTTCCTTCATCTTTTTCAAACTTTGTTGAAGCGTATACTCTTTAATAGCAGCTGAAGCTATTTCTTCAAGTTTAGCTATATGAAGCAACAACCCCAACTCTACCATGTCCGAAAGACTGCTCACAGCTGTCAATATTATATCTGCATGTATTATTTGGCTTATTAAATTCCAATGTCGATCCTGTAATCCAGGGGTACATATAATTTGCAAAAGTGGGATAAATTGCTTAAATTTATCCACTTTTGCACGGACCATTTCGGCAATTTTTCGTGCACCTGGAATATCAGCAAGAATACGAATCAATTTGTATAATGTACGCCAGATGTTGTCAACTTCGTCTTTAATGTCATCCGCATCGAGATTGAAAAATGGACCGTAGAACCATTTGTCATAATTCTTGTGAAAATTTAATGCTATGTGCCAAAGAGTATCGAGTGCATTGACTAACATTGACATTATCGGAATTACCAAATACGGACTTAATTCCATGTCTAAAAGTCCTTCTTCTTCGTTGATCTCTTCAACTTCCTTCCTAATCTCTTCCATTGCTTTGGAAAGACGTTCAATTTCTTCCACTGCGATTTCCATTTCATCCATGGTCAATACAGGTGGATCCTTTCTTTTAAATTGATCAATCGCCAATTGTATCTCGCGTATCTTTTGATCAAAATTATCCCGCTTTATACGTAACACTTCTTCCAGGTAATCCTTTCTCATATTTAATCTCGTACTCGCTAATTCCATTACGATTTCCATTTCTTTCGGCCATGTGATAGTTCGGGAATTCAAATAAATATCATCATCCGAGAGTGGATGATAATCAAAAAGGAATAATATCAATTCTACGGAACGCAATAATTTCCTTTTTAAATTGAACAAGGTTGTATCTCGACTTTCGCACAAATAATTGTACAACTCAACGACATCTCTTGTTTTTTCAGGCATTTGCGAAATATTTTCCGCTATTACATCAAAAGCGGAACACAATTCACGATTGTTGGATCGTAGTTCATTTGCAAAGAAATCACAGATTTGCATACGAAGATCATAAAGAATTTGTCTTAAAGTATCATTTACGATCGTGCAGTCAATCTCTATCATGTTCAAAGGGATCTAAAATGAAATGCAATAAAATAAAATCGGGAAAAAATCACGACATATCGTAATCGTTATCGTAAAATATATATCATTTGTATTAATGTTTCGTATGTTTGCTTTACCTTGTTTCGAAAAATACAAATTTCTTGTCTAAGCTCATCATATCCTTTTATTTTTTGTTCAAATTCATGTAAATATGGAATTGGTTCGATCATAAAAAAATTATCTAAAACTTTTTTAGCATGACCAGCAACTAAATATAATAAATTTTTATAACATTTTAGATAAATGTCAGGACCGCTAATATGAACAGTAATAACATCTAGTACATCATTAATTATTTTTAAAACCTGTTATATTTAATATTAATGTCAGTTACTTTGATCAAAACGAAAAATTGTTTATAACTTTTTAATAAAATAATTTTTCGAGCCATTTAGATTTTTATTCTTTATTTGTGAATATCATCTTAGTTAATTTAAAAGTTTTTTTTTTTATTATTGTATATGTTTGTTGTAAAAAAAATTTTATTTATGTATCAAATCAACTTAAACGATCTAAATATGTTATTTTATATAATACGAAAAAGCTCACTTGTGTATTCTTGATCATCTTATCTTTCAATAAAGAAAAAAAATAAAAAATTTCTTGGAATTGACATTTATGTTTTTTTATATTTCTTATTTTATAGGAAAATATATAATCTTATATAATCTTTTCTTTGATAATTAATTCATAAAAAGTTAATAATATTAAAGTTAATAACATTTCATTTACCGATTCTTCATATCGTGATACAGAGAATAAAAATTCCTTTTTTTGCAATTCCGGAAATAAAATACTTTCAATTTTTGGAATCAATGTTCCAACATTTAAAATTTTATCAAAACAATGTGATATTATTACTAATACTTCTAAAACACTTGGTTTACAGTTTAATAAAAAAGTACCAAGTTTTGGTATTACTGATATCGTTATAAAAGGATTTCTAAAATGTAACTGTAATGAACATTACATGTACATACATTATTAATATACATTACGATAATAAATTGATTACATACTTGTAAAACATAAGATCTTTGTAATCACCCTCAAAATAATTTCCACTTTTATATTCCATGAAAAAATCTCTAATATTATTTAATGTTTTCATTATCATCATTCGTAATTGTATAGATAAAAGAGAATTTACACTTCTAAAATATTTTTCTATCAATACTGTAGATGCATTATAATGTTTTTCAAAAAAACAAGACCAAGCGTATTTTTTTTCTAAAAAAAGTTCAGCAACATCGGCTAACCAATATTTAATGAGATAATCTATAGTTTTATCACATAATAAACTTATTTTCGGTAGTATTTCATTTGCTGGAATAGGAAAAGTTCCCAGATCTTGAAGATTTACTATCGTTAATTCATAATATCTGAAAAAATAAATGTTTGATACATGTTTTGAAAATTAAATATTTCACATATTGATTTTCTAGCTAATAATTATTTAAATATTTCAAGTCATATTTAAATATTTAAATATTTCAAGTCAATTATTTAAATATTTTCATTAAAATTATAATTATAATATAATCATTTTTATACTTGTAAACCAATACTTACTCTTTTTTCCGAAACAAATTTTGAAAATACATTATAAATATGATACAAACTCATCATTAATTTGTGGTAATTGTGTGTAAACAAAAAAATTAATCAAAAATATTGGATTATTATATTATATTATGCTTTTAACATCTAAGTATTGTTCTATTATATTTTTATGTCTTATTATATTTTTCCTTATATTAATTTTGATAATTTCGCGCTATTTCTTATATTATGCAATGAAATACTTGCAATGCTTACTTGATAAAATATAAATGTTGAACATTTCTCAATATTTCATTTCCAATAAATAAATTATAATACATTAAATGACTTGCCATCACTTTAGATTGATGCCACGGGACAGGTGCTCGTATGACTATTGGATAATCTTCCTGTATGGATTTTATAAGAACTTGTTTATAAGTATCAATAATTTCTGTTTCTAATTCAGTCATTAAATCATCAAATCTGTAAAAAAATTTTCATCAAAATTTTCATCATTATATATAGAAATAAAAATAATTAAAATTTTGATAAACAAACTTTGCAAATTTTCGTAATCTACCGGTAATATATTTTCTTGCTTCTACAAAATGGATATTATCATAATAATCTAAATCACTATCGGTAATACAATAATTTTTAAAATGTATTGGTTTATCGATTTGATATTCTTCTACAAATTCCATTTTTTTCTTTTTAATTTCTTTCAATATTTCTTCTATTCGTTCTTCCACAGATTTCGGAATTTCGGCTTCAATTATTTGAAATATCTGCAAATATAATTCTATAATATCATTTTATAATACTAATATGTTTAATTTAAAAACATTATAAATATTTTAATTATATGTTTAATGTTTAATGTAAAAAATGTTTAATTATAAATATTTAATTATATTATAATTTTATTATATTATGTTTAATTATAAAAACATAATACCTTTTTTCTCATTTTTTTAATATTTAATAATTATAATTTATTAAATATTAATAAATATAATATTTTTAAAACTACTCGCTTAATCGTGTTATTTGTAAAAAACAAAGTAAAATAAATTATGCTATTCTTACTTTACATTCTATTGGAAAAGAAATAAAATAATTTCTCGTTGTTAAGAATTTTATGCAAATGTATTTAAAATGTATATATATATATATATATATATATCTTACTATTGTTACCGAGTGAATTATAAATAATTTTCTAAAGATTGAATATTAGATTGCTAATTTAATTTTATATAATTTCCTTTATTTTACTTTTATAAACTTCGAATACAAGTTTAAAACGTTAAAAATAATTGATTTACATTGATTCGTTTCTTTTTTACGATTTATATATGGTACAAAATATATATGACGTATATTTCTTGGATTTTGAATTTGAAGGAAAAGGTTGGCGAGATAATTCTTTCTTTTAACTCTTGTCATTTAGAAAAAAGTTTTCGAATTTCACGAAGATACGAATGGGGACAATAATAAATATAACGAATATGAATATTTTGTATAATTAGAAAAAAGTCTATGAATCTAATCTAAGAGTTGTAAGAGTACAAATAAGATTGCTTTATTTATATCATCAATCTTTATGTTATATATTTATCTTTATGTTATATAAATAATTATTTAAGATTTTTCTGCTAATAATATATATATATATATATATATATATATATATGAATGTTATTTCTGTATTACATTATGCTAAATATGATTACAATATAGATTTTTTCAAGTTAATTCATATATAAGTAAAAATTGAAATTGCGTTACCTTTTCTTCTGCTAACATCTTTTTCATTTTCATCTTTTTGGTTATACATTTTTTAAGTGTTTTAGTAGTATAGTCCTTTTGACTTTTTTTCCACAACCATGTATCATCTGCCAATTCTTTTAAACTAATGATATTTGATAAAGGCTTTGTAACAACTGTTTCTTTTTGCACATTTTTATATTTTTTAATATATTCTGTTGATGAATTAGTAAACTTCTGTTCAAAAATAAATAAATTGTATTATTAATATTATTTTTCAATATTTTATTTTTATATTATATTATTGATATAAAACATTTATTTTTATTTGAATATAATTTTTGTTCATATATAATTTAATATAATTCATATATTATTATATTATTATAAGTGTTATGAATTTATATAAATAATAATTATTGATTATTAGATTTCAATGATATTTAAAAATCATCATTTTGTTTTTTTTTTCTTATCATTTTACAAATGATTTTTTTTATACATAAATACATAAAATTTATTATTATAAGTTTATAGTTTAATATAAAATTTAAGCAAAAATAATAAATTTCAATTTTTAATTATTTCATAAATTTTAATTTTCATAAAATATATATAAAATATTTCATAAAATAATTATTTAATTCTACTTTATTTCATATTATAATACAATAATCATTTAATTCTAAAAAACATTAAATTTTGTTAATTTGATAGAAGATAAAAATCATTTGTTTTTATATACACTTTTAAGTGAGATATTATAAATATATAATATATAAATAAAGATTATATTGAATATTTTATCAATATATTTAAATTTAAAAATATTGAAATAATAGGTATAGAATTAGAAAAAAATTAGTTACTTATGTAAAATTTGTCATTTATATTATTCATTAATTGATATTTATTTGTATACATATTTATATTAATTTTATTATGCAATATATAAAAAAAAACTATTATTTTTTAAGTACATTACCTTCATTGAAATAAATGTATGTTAAATGTATATCTTGTATGAGGAAAGTATCTAAATTGTAAATAAGAATGTAACTATGGTAACCATAATAAATATTAAAATTTGGGTTAATATTATTTTGAAATTATGAATAATAATGGAAAAATGAAAAACTAAGCATTATTGAAATAATAATTAATAAAAGTGTATGTATTACACTTTGAATATTTATATAAATATAGATTTTATTTGTAATAAATAAATGAAATAATATCTATTTATATAATCTATTATATAATTCTATTACATAAAGATTTACATTGATATTAAATAATTTTAAAAAGATATTTCATTTCATACATTATATAAATCTAAAAATCTAAAAAATTTAAAAATCAATCTAAAAATTTATTCTGCAAATATTTAAATAAATATTTTCTACAAGATGATATTTTTATTCTTTTATTTCCATGTAGATATTAAAGAAATTATTTATTTTATTTTATAAAAAATAAAATTAATTTATTGATAAATCTTATAAGTTAATAATATTTTATAATGAATAAAGTCTTAAGATAAAATTTACAACATGAAATAAACATATACTTAAGTATAAATTATTTTATTATTATATAAATTACATTCATATTACATGTATATAATGTATAAATTATATTCATATTATTTTACATATACATGTACATTACATTTGTATCTATTATAAAGATTTAACAATGAAAATTAAAAATAAATATATATATATATATATATTAATATAATATAATCAATTTTAATAATTCATTATCAAATTTTAAAATAAAAATTCAGAATTCCAATACTAATAAAAGTTAGTTACATTTAGTGTATATACTTGTATCTATAATAAATTATATATGGTGATATCCCCTTAGCTGTCACAGGCATTCGATGTATTTATATATTCCAGGAATTACTTATTGTTATCTATCTTCAAATTCTATCTTGTTTGTGAATTTATGAAACAATAATGATATAGTAAAAGTAATAAAGTGTTATGATAATATATAATATATATATAAGATAGCACTTTAAATTTTTGTTATGTTATTAGCTTTAAAAAATTAGTTTAAAATCAATCTAAAATTTAATACAAACCAAATATTTTATTGTATTATAAAATAGATTTAGAAAAGTAATAAAAGTGTTAAAATTATATTATAATCATTAAATTTATGATACAAATGTGTAGATACAATTTTAAATATTAAAATATAATAAACATTATAGGAAAGACTTTGACATAAAATTGTGTATTTCTTTTGTCTAAGCATATATAGAACTTTTTTATATAATCATATAGCAATTAATTTATTATAAAATTATGATATATATATATATATATAACAATTATTTATGACTGACTCATAATTTTTGAATTTAAAATGAATTTAAATTTTTTACAAAAAATTAACGAATGATATATTATAAATGAATATATAAGTACTTAATATATTAATAAATAAATAGTATTAACTTTTTAATCATGTCATTATTATTTGGACACAAATTAATACTTAAACTAACAGATCAAACATTTTACAAATCAAAAATTAATTGAATCAATTATCGAAATCTACTTCTATTCAAAAAGAAGTGACTACAGTAGCAAAACGTTTAGAAATTATTCAGAAATTAGAAAAAGGTGTGAAAATTAATAAACTTGTTATTGAATATGCTCTTCATAGAAAAACCATATAACAATACCGAAAAAATATGGAGTCACTTCGAGAAATTTCGAAAAATCCAAGAAATTATTAAAAAAAGATTAAAAAAGATATCATGTACTTGTAAATGAAGATATCCGATTATTTGAATGGATTTTAGAAAGACAAATGAAAGATGTTTTTAGCGAGTTTTTTTTTTTTTTTTTATAAGAAAAAACAAAAGAGTTGCATAAAAAATTTGGTAGTTCGACAAATTTTACACCTAGCCGTGGTTATAGCGTTTTAAAAAAAGATACAATTTAAATGGTTTAGATATTCATGAAAAAAAAACTGAAGTAGATGAATTTACAACAGAAAAATTAACAAAACTATTGAATGAAGAAAATATTAATAAAGAAAATATATATAATATATATAAGACAACCTTAATGTGGAGAATTTTTCCACAAATTATATTATCGAATGAAGAAGAATCAAAATGAGAAAACAAATGAAGATTATGTTACTGTAGCATTTTGTGTTAATATTCAGGTACGCATAAATTACCGCCACTTTTTGTTATTAAATGTGCTTTTCAATTATTAAAACACATATTAGCAATAATATATAAGAATCAAAATAATAATTCTATTGACAAAATTATTTTCAATGATTGTTATGTCAATCAATTTAAATCCAATATATGGCAATATCAACAACAAAAATATTCTATATCTAGGAAAAGTATTATTATTTATTGATAATTTTAAAAGTAATTTATATTTTTAGAGAAGGAACAAGATTTTTATTTCAAATTAATAATCTTATCATTTAATACATCTTCGATTATTCGACCGATTATAAATTTTAAAAAATTATTTCAACAGAAATTACTTCATTAAATATGTCAATATCATAATGAAATTAAAAAATTTTATATAAATTTATTTTACATAATTTTATATAATTTTATATAAATTTCGATTTAATTAGCGAAACATGGGACGAAATAACAGTAATGGATATTGTACATTCATGGAGAAAACTTTTAAATTAGCAGAATTCTGAAATTATTATTAAAGAAGAAGCAGAATAATTTAAAGAAAATATTGTTTCTCAAAAAATATTGAAATAGACTTCAACATGTAAAAAAGAAATGAATTGAAAGAGTCGCGGAAGAAAAAGAAACGAATTCAGTTTGTTATTCAGTAAAGAAAAGAGAAATTAACCATATATTTTAAAATTTGGAAATTTAGGCTAATTCACTGATTTTATTAAATTATAAAGTTTTGATATATTATAATATTTTAATATATTATAATTATAATCAAAATATATAAGCAAAAGTTTTAATATATTTTTAGTTTTAATATATAATATTTTAATATATTATAATTATAATCAACAATAATATTTTGTATAACAATATAACATTTTTTTAATTAAAATCTGAAATGTTTATATTATATTTTGTTCTTCTAAATTTATATAGATATCATGAAAAAATATTAAATCATTTATGTTGAAAATTAATTAATTTAAAAAATATTTTAATTTTGATTTAAAAAATATTTAAAAATAAAAAATATTACAATATAACAACAACAACAATATAAACAAAAAAGTTTTATTATTATTGTACTTATTTTACTTTTAGTTATATCATATAATTGGGAATTGAATTTTCTGCTATATACGGAAATATAATCATATTTGTTAAACTTTTATAATTATTAACTTTTATAATTAATTCGTATAACATCAATTATAATAAAATTATATAATATAAAATATGCTGTTTTATTTTAAATTTTGTAAAGAAGCATTATTATTATTTATTTTTTTTAATATAATTTTTTTAATATGTTTCTCTAAAATTATTTAATATAAAAATTTTATATGTACTTTTTTCATAGGAACCACTATATTAATATGATATAATACTTTTTCAAAACATTGTATAAAAACTTACAACTTAATTTACTTAATTTATAATTATTAATTTGTAAAAATAATAGGAAATATGAAATACATAATATAAAAAATTGTATTTATTAATATTGCTTTCAAGAACTTAAATTCAATAAATAGTATATTAAATTTTACATATTTCAGCATAGTCATACTTCTAATTTTATCCAAAAAAGTTTATAAAAATTTTAATCTTTTACAATTTGAAATTTTAGTTACTGCATAAAAATAGCAAAATAAATCATTATTGACTTTAATATTAGTTATTGTAATACTATTTGTTATAGTATTAGTATCTACTATAAATGACTTGTGATAATATATATATCGTGTAAATAATATACTATAAATTTTGCGATGACTTAGAATCAGCACATAACTGTCAGTCAGTGCAGTATATGATTTACATTCTTTTTATTTTGCAAAAACCTGAAAGTATTCAAATTATACTTAAAAAGAATATAAAATTAATTAGAAATAATAAAATAAGATATTACCATGTAGTATTAATAAATAAGTACAATGAAGTACAGTATTTCAACATGTGTTATATTCGAGTTCGTCTTGATCAAAGGTTACAAAAAATCCGACTAGAGTTAGATATATAATAATATTACCTGCTAAAGTCAAATAACAAGCACCCCATTGTATCTGAAAATACATAATAAAAAATAACATTATTACATTATTAAATTTTTTTATGTTCAATAATAATATAAAAATATAATATAATATTTAATATTTTTTTAAGATTTAAAAAAAATATGCATAATTTTAATATACCACTGGATCATTGACTGGAGACCGAGCTAAGACAATAGGAAGAGCAAAAGATGATACCACAAAGCCCATAGTAATAAATATTGCCAATTCCAAACATGGATTAGGATTATTTTCAAAATCATTTGTTGTATAACGACGTGCAATTATAGTTGGGACTGGTGCTAATATATAGAATAACACAACAAAAAATGGCCACCATACTCTAAAAACAATGTATATATATATATTTTGCCAATAATTTATATATTTTAATATTTGATAATAAGATTAAAATTATACTATTTTATATTAATATCAGAATAATTTATATATTTTGATATTGTCAAAATAAAACATAAGTAATATTATAATATAATAGTATTATATAATAATATATAATAGTATAATAGTATTAAATAAAAAATAAATAATATTAATATACAATATTAATTTATTTATAATATATACTTACTTATATGTAGGTAAAGCACAGCCAAGTATGACAAATGTCATACCAATAGATCCACCAAATGCCAAAAGTACTAATCTATAAAATAATTTTTTGTTACATTTACTATACATTTACATTTATTATAAAAAAATATTTTACATAGATTGTGAATTTGAATTACTTACGCTGTTTATTAATGAAGATCATTAAAAGCATGTAACAAAATAAAGAAATTATATTATATATAAATATATAATTTTTATATTATACAATATAATTTTATCATAATTTTATATCATATTATAAAATTAAAATTATAAAAATTAATTAAAAAATAATTGTTTATATACTTGTTTTTTATATTTATTTAATGAAAAACTTTATAAAAAGTTTATATATAAATATAAGTTTATATAATATAATAAATGATTTATTTATAAATTAACTAATATAAAATACATATAAAAATTAAATATGATTAATAAAAAAACTTTACTGAAGAATATAAATATAAAAATATAAATCATAATCTATCTATCATAATGAATATTTTTCAATTTCACATTTTATATATGAGATATATGATATTTTTATATGAGATAATATTTCTTATATTTTTAATAATCTATATATAAATATTAAAAAAAAATATTCAATTTAATAATTAATAATTTTCTCATCTTTTAATATAATATTTAAATATTTGAACATAATAAATATTTATATCTGAAAATAATTGTTTATAAAGAGAAATAAGTAAAAGGAATAATAAATCTATATTATAAAAAATTACAAAATAAGTTAATAAATATAAAAGAATTTGACAGCAATGATAATAAGAATAGTAAGGTTATGTTTGAACATATTATTTTTTTAATTTATCTTTCTTATTAAATTTTTATCGGCAATATCATATTTTTTGATTTTATAAAAAAATTTTATATATTTAATGTAATTAAAAATATGCCGAATAACCTTTAATTCCAGCCATTTTAGACCGATTTGACAAGTATATTTATCGTATTCTCAGTTCGAGAACGTCGTGACGTGATCTAAAGTTTAGTTTTAAATACACTTTTACTAGATACTATTAAGATTATCTAATGAATATAGCATAAATTTAAAATTAACAAAAAGAAAAATTTTAAATATAAGTTTATATTTATTTAAAAAGTTGTACACATGGATTTAGTACAAATATTTCATTTCATTTAAACTTTATTTTAATATATATTAATCTTTATATATTCAGAAAAATAAAAATAAAAATAAAAAATAAGTAAAAGTTATTCAAAGTATTTTAATTATCTTTATAATAATTAATAAAATTATTAAAAATATATGTATAATAATAATATATAACATAAAATGATGAGTTTTTTTGTAAATCTGCCTTTAGATTTTGATTCAACAATGGGGAGTTTAATGCAAGCCATGAAAGTTCAAATGAGAATGTTCATTGGACTGACTATAGGTGTTGCTGACTCGTACGTGTTACGATACTGAGTTCTGATCGTTGTCTGTGCATTTTCTTTTGCGTTAAATCAAGTGAATAATGGGCGAACCAAAAAGGTAAGTTAATTTAACAGAAAAAGCGTTTAATTAGGTAATACTTACAATAATTTAATTCTTATACTTCAATTTTCAAACGTGAAATATGCAAATAATATCCATCCATGCTGGCTTCCAATTTTACGTTGTCATCATGTCGACGCAACGCGTCTTTTTATAGATTCTTATAAAAGTAAATAACATTTATTAAATTTTATATTGTAAAAAGTGATTGTATCTTATAAACTATTATTTTTTTTTTTAAAGAATAGTTCATAATATACAAATCGTGCTTATCACTTTTGTGTGCCGACTGTTCATGGCGAATACTATATCGAATATGACAAAGAAATTTTTATTAATGATTTATTTTTTTACTATGACATTTATTGATTCCATAATGAATTTTTAATAAAAATAAAAATTATTTATATTTTAAGATAAATGTATATATACATATATATATATGTCATATGTATGAAATTGAATATATTTGTTTTAAAATTAATTATTAACTTTACTATTTGATAATAATTATTGATATGAATATATATTGTATTTATCACGTGATATTATTATAATTAAATATTTTAAAAATACTTTTTTATGACTTAATGAATATACTTTATATTTTAATTTTTATAATAATAAAATATAAAAAATCAAATATTTTCATTAAAATGTATGTATTATTATAAATATATATATATTTATAAATTATTATAATTTATATAAACAGATTAGAAAATTCAATTAATTTTTATAGTTTGTATTATTAAATAATAAATACATAATAATTTATATTAAATGTTAAATATATATATAATAATTTAGTGATAATAATTTATATTATAATTATTTATTATATCTAAAATAGTAATCAGATATGAATTGTATTGTAATTATAAAAAAAAAAAAAAAAGTTAATCCTATTAATAAATAAAACAATTCAAAGTTTAAAATTATGTTGATTATAATCTAAATGATTACGTAATATAAATGCTAGTAAATTAAATTTAAATTTTTTATTTGTATAAATATTATATAAATTTTATTTAATAATTTTATTATTATTATATTTAAATTAATAAAATGCATTATGTTATAACAGTGAAGATTTGGCAACAGCAATCCTTCGAAAGAAGGACAAGCCAAATAGATTATTAGTGGATGAAGCTATTGCAGATGACAATTCTGTTGTGGCTCTGTCTCAAGCAAAAATGGATGAATTACAACTTTTCCGAGGAGATACAGTATTGTTGAAAGGAAAAAGACGCAAAGAAACTGTATGCATTGTTCTTTCTGATGATACTTGTCCCGATGAAAAAATTCGTATGAACCGTGTTATAAGAAATAACTTACGTGTACGTTTAAGTGACGTTGTCTCTGTACAAGCATGTCCAGAAGTTAAATATGGAAAACGTATTCATGTACTACCAATGGATGATACAGTAACTGGTCTTACAGGGTAAATTAATAATTCTTAAAGAAATATAATAATTATTCATTTTTTATATTTAAATATATTACTTTTGATATTTTTATGTTTAAGCATATGATTTTTTGCAATAATAATTTTTATTTTGATTATATATATTTTTAATATATAAAATTAATAAATTAACTTAAAATCAAGATTTAATTTTAATTATTTATTATTATTTTTTAGTTTTATCTCTCATTTTAATAATTATCTTTATCCATATCTTTATCATCCATATAATTATAATTATTTTATTCATCATTATTTCATTTATAAAATAAATCTTATATAAATAAATAAATTAATATTATTTATTTTATAAATTATTCATTTATAATTTTAATATATAAATATGATGATACATATATTTTTAACATTTCATAATAATTATAAAAATATAGTTGATATTAAAAATTTATTAAATGATATAGAAATATAATTATGAATTATGAAATGTATTAAAAAATATGTTTAAATAGAAAAATATTTAGAATTTTATGATAATAATTATATGAAACATAAAGTTTAATGTATTTTGTATATAAAAAGAAAATAAATAATTTATTATTCATTATTTACTAATAATTTATTTATTTAACATTTTTTAATTTTTTAGTTTATATAAACATTATTTATAATATAATATATATCTTATTTTTTGTTGTAGAAACTTATTTGAAGTATATTTAAAACCATACTTCTTGGAAGCTTATCGTCCTGTTCATAAAGATGATAATTTTATTGTACGTGGTGGTATGCGTGTTGTAGAATTTAAAGTAGTAGAAACAGATCCTGGACCATTTTGTATTGTAGCTCCTGATACAATTATTCATTGTGAAGGTGATGCTATTAAAAGGGAGGTTAGTTAAATAATTTTTTAATGATCGTTTATTTATTTTTATTATAATACAAATATTCAAAAACATTGTAGGAAGAAGAAGAGGCATTAAATGCTGTAGGTTATGATGATATTGGTGGAGTTCGTAAACAATTAGCTCAAATCAAGGAAATGGTAGAATTACCTTTAAGGCATCCATCTTTATTTAAAGTTATTGGAGTTAAACCACCTCGTGGTATTCTTTTATATGGGCCACCAGGCACTGGAAAAACTCTTATTGCTCGTGCTGTTGCAAATGAAACAGGAGCATTCTTCTTTCTTATTAATGGTATGTTAATTTAAAAAAAATTTTTTTTTTTTTTTTTTCATAGAATATTAATATTTATTCTGTTAAAAGGTCCTGAAATTATGAGTAAACTTGCGGGAGAGTCGGAAAGTAATTTAAGAAAAGCATTTGAAGAAGCTGAAAAAAATTCACCAGCTATAATTTTCATTGATGAACTTGATGCAATTGCTCCAAAAAGAGAAAAGGTTTCTATGAATTATTTTGTTATATAATTCACAAATTAATTGTATAATTAATATTATATTATACTGTTAAATTTAGACTCATGGAGAAGTAGAAAGACGCATAGTATCTCAGCTATTAACTTTAATGGATGGCATGAAACAAAGTTCTCATGTTATTGTAATGGCTGCTACTAATCGACCTAATAGCATTGATCCAGCATTACGTCGTTTTGGTCGTTTTGATAAGGAAATTGATATTGGAATACCTGATGCTACTGGTCGTTTAGAAATTTTACGAATTCATACAAAAAATATGAAACTTGCAGATGATGTTGAATTAGAAGAGGTCTATATTATTAAATTTGAAATTCTTGAATTATTAATTTTCATATAATATTTTACTAAATTAACATATTTGTTTAGATTGCAGCTGAAACACATGGGCATGTAGGAGCAGATTTGGCTTCGTTGTGCTCTGAAGCAGCGTTACAACAAATTCGAGAAAAAATGGATCTTATTGACTTGGAAGAAGAACATATAGATGCTGAAGTTTTATCTTCTCTTGCTGTCACTATGGATAATTTCAAAGTAATTAATTTATATATATTAAATCTTGAAATATTTTCACAAATGTATATTAATTTTTATAAATAATATTATGTTTCCCTCTAATTTAGTATGCTATGACTAAAAGTAGTCCAAGTGCCCTACGAGAAACTATTGTGGAAGTTCCAACTGTTACATGGGATGATATTGGAGGTTTACAAAATGTTAAAATGGAATTGCAGGAATTGGTACAGGTAAGACAATTATTAAATATATATTATAAAAAAATATAGCAGTATATAATATATATGTAATATATTATATCTATTTAAATTATAAGATAAAATAATTATTTTTTTTATTATATAGTATCCTGTTGAACATCCAGATAAATTCTTGAAATTTGGTATGCAACCTTCCAGAGGAGTATTATTCTATGGACCTCCTGGTTGTGGTAAAACATTACTTGCTAAAGCAATAGCAAATGAATGTCAAGCAAATTTTATTTCTGTAAAAGGTCCAGAATTATTGACTATGTGGTTTGGTGAATCTGAAGCGAATGTTAGAGATGTTTTTGATAAAGTAAGTATTTTAAATTCAAAAAAATAAAGAATTATTTCATTTATTGTTATTAAACTTATAGGCAAGAGCTGCAGCTCCTTGTGTATTATTTTTTGATGAACTTGATTCTATTGCTAAATCTCGTGGTGGCACATTAGGAGATGCTGGTGGAGCAGCAGACCGCGTAATAAATCAAATTTTAACAGAAATGGATGGTATGGGAGCAAAAAAAAATGTATTTATCATAGGAGCTACTAATCGTCCTGATATTATTGATCCCGCTATTCTACGACCTGGTAGATTAGATCAGTTGATTTATATACCATTACCAGATGAAAAATCTCGAGAAGCAATTTTTAGAGCTAACCTCCGAAAATCACCTGTAGCAAAGGTACAAGAAATTAAATAAATTCATATTTTTAATAAGATTTTATGTTTTGTTTTAACTGTTGCTTAATTACATTTTTAATATTTAATATTATAGGATGTAGATTTAAGCTATATAGCTAAAGTAACACATGGTTTCTCGGGTGCTGATATAACAGAAATTTGTCAACGTGCATGTAAACTTGCTATTAGACAAAGCATTGAAACTGAAATTCGAAGAGAAAAAGAACGTGCTAGTAATCCATCTGTATCTATGGATGTAAGTAATGTTTGATATATTTTATTTGTATGAATTTAGATAATTATTTTAATTGCTGTAATGTTAAAATAAATGTTATATTAAAATTGTATTTACTGAAAAAAAAATGTTAATAATTATTACAATATCAATTTTAAATGTAAAATGTATTTTTCAAATAATATAAAAAAAATAAGTCTCTTTTATATTAAATGTTTTCAATAATTATAAAATATTTAATTTTTGTTCTGGATAATAATGTTTTATATATTACAAATATAGAATATCATATATATATAATAACATAATAATTAAAATTTTTTTTCTTTAATAATATAATAAAATTATAAAAATTCAAAATAGGCAACTTAAAAAATAAATATTTATTTATTATCAAAATTTTTGAAAATATATCAAAAAAATATATTTTCAGCTTTTTATAATTAATAAATTTTAATAATTATTTTATGCATATAAATATTTAAATAATTATGAAAAGATTAAAATAAAACTTTTACACTTAAAAATATTTTATTATTTATATGAAGTCAATTTTAAATTAATATTGTATTTTACTTTTAGTAAAATATAATTTATTTAATATTTTCATTATTTTTACATATTAAAGATGGATGAGGATGATCCTGTACCAGAAATAACTAGAGCTCATTTTGAAGAAGCAATGAGATTTGCACGACGTTCTGTATCTGATAATGATATTAGAAAATATGAAATGTTTGCACAAACACTTCAACAATCTCGTGGATTTGGCAGCAATTTCAGGTAAAATATGTAAATTATTTAAATGTTTTTTAAAAATTTTATAATATATATTATCTTTGTACATAAATCAATATTTAAATAAAATTCAGTTCATGATCAAATATTTTATCTAAAATATATGAACTTACATTTGCTTTATAATAATAAATAAAATAAAATTTATAGATTTCCGCAAAGTGGAACAAGTGGTACTCAAGACACAACACAAGGTGATCAAGCCTTCCAAGATGATGGAGATGATGATCTTTACAGCTAAGTCTTCATGTCTGTGTACCTCATTACAGTGAGCATACGACAAAAGGGCCTGTCTATTCTGCAGAAAATACTTTGTGTTTATAAACACAAATTTTACAGAAAAATAATTCTAAGAAATTGATAATACAAAAATATATAAATCTAATTCAATACTGATATTCTGTGTAAGTATATGCAATTTTACGTATATAATTAGGGTAAATTTTAACTAAGCAAAACTAAATATACAAAAATGTAATAATGAAACGACATTTTTTAATATTAAAATTAAACAAGGGAAATATATAATTGTGAAAGTTGTATTAATAAGATTACATGAATATTTAATTTCATTTTATATGTATAGATAAAATGAAATATAATTCGTTGATTATTAATTTATATAGTGCATAACTGCCCTAATCTGATACGTTATTTTGTATATACATTACATAGAATTATATATGAATTTTTTTGTTGTTCATAAGTTTTTCTATGTAATTTTATATTTGAGTTATTCACATAAAAATGTAATTCTGATTCTGTAACAGTGTTATAATTTTTTCAACTGATTTAGAGATAGACTCTTTTGCTACGTTGTCACTGTATTTAATTACATTTCATTGTTCATACTCTGAGATTACAGATTAATGTGAGAGTTTATGCAATGTCAGTGAAATTGTTGGAAAATGGTGATGTGTATTGGTGAATTTGCAGTCTGCTTGTAGTAGTAAATTTATTTACAAATTACCAAAGAATCTCTTAAAACCTTTCATTTTAGAATAAAGTGTTAAAATTATTCATTTTTATCGTATTTCTATAATTATATAAAAAATGGAATCTTAAATCAAACAATTTAAATTTTCGGATAAATTTTATTAATTATTTTGGAAATATGTTGCTTATTTTTACATTTATAATAATGCATTGTCAAATTATTCGTATTAGATAAAATTATTTATTATTTATTTTCTTGCAAACTTTAATACTAATTATGAAATATCATATTTTTAACTATAATTAACTTAAGTTTTCTTCTATACATTCTTTTTAAATATTTATTAAAATATTTACATAGATACTGAAAACAAATGTAAAGAACAAGTGGAACTAAATAATTTTTTTAAATAATGTTGTTATACTTTGCATTTGCAACTTAAATAATTAATTCATTTTTTTTTTTATTTGATTTCATTTAATCGTTTGTTTTTATTTTCTTAAAAGTATATACTAATGTTGTAAAATTTCTCAACTTTATTTAGTAATACTTTCAGTGGAATTATAATGACACATTTTTAAAACATGAAACTTAGAATTGCATTAAATTATAAAATAAATAAAGATTATCATAATAGAATATTTTATTATATAAAAATTTAATATCATATTCAATAACATAATTATTTCATAATACAAAATTTAGAAAGATTAAATGTTTTCATATCATTAAAAATTATTTCTTTGTTTGATGCATCATCATAATTACATATATATTCATAAAAAATTTTATATGCAATATCAGTACTTAAAAATTTATTATATATATGCGTATTTACATTTTTAATATTACTTATTTTTTATAAAAGTAAAATTAATTATTAAACAAGACATTACATTCATACAAAAGCACCGAAAGACATTATGGGTCTATAATATTTGCAATATTCGCAAAAATTACATAGATTATCTATTTTTTAAAAATAAAAATATTATTATTCTAATTAATATATGTTGCCCGCACCCTTAAGTTAAAGCATTCATTATAGAATGAGGACAAATTTTATTATAACGAAACATTCAAAATTACATAAAGATATGTAAAATCAAAGAAATAACAAATTCAGTTTCTACCTTAAATATATATAATTAATAATTAAAACATTTCATATTAAAAGATATATAAAAATATTTTAATGCAATTTTAATCAACATATAAAATAATAAGGGTTACAGACAACACATCAATTGTAACGTATAAAGATATTTAATTACAAATATTATGTAAATATGATATTCTGAATTTTTCTTTTATCCTTTCTGTAATGTTAAAAAATAAAGACAAATATTAAGTTTATAATAAATATAAAGAGAGCAAGCAAAATGAATATTTAAATAAGAAATAACACTAAAGAAAAAATAAAATTAATAGAATATAGGAATTATTTAGATTTTATAATATACTTTCAGAAATGCCATAATCTCTCATTATACATAATACATGTAAGGATATAATAAATTTTTAAATTAATTGATACTAATGTAGGAAAATTTTAAATCGTATAATCAATATATGAAGAAATTGGTAAATGTTATATTTTGAATCAAATGTTCCCAAAGAAACATGAATAATAATGGAATATAGTCGATTTTTTAATAAAACGATAGTACTGAAAACGCACTCCAACAATTATGTTATTATACATTGAATAAAGTATAATAATAAAAAAAAAAATTTTTTTTAGTATTTTTAACAAATGGCATTTAACCATATTATTTTTTAAAAAGTAGTTTTATATATATGCAATCATATATTTTATATTTAAAATAATTTGAATTTAATAAAAAATTCAAATATAATGAAATTCATTATATCATATATTGTAACTATTTATATAAATCTATTTTTTATATTTATACACTATATGAACTATTCCATATATAAACAAAACATGAAATATTTTTTATCACAAATATTTCAGAATATTTCATTTTTGGAAAATATCGGTGAAAAATTTTTTTAAAACATGTAAGTATTATACTGTTTATAAAATATTAATTTCATAATTTTTTCATTTTTTTCATTATTTCTTAAAAGAATAAGTTTTATTATCAGTGAACACAGAAGATGACAATATATAATTACAAAATACAATAATCTAGTAAAAAGAAATACAAGATATTCACAATAAGAATATTATATACTGAAAAAAATTTTTTTCTATATCATGTCTAATATATATAATATTTTACTATAATCATTGTATTGATTCACAGTAAAAATACTTAAATGTGGACATATGGTTTCACATAAGTTTATGTTAAACATTCTTACTATATGTTATCAAGCATATTTAGCTTGAGTTTTCATAATTTTTTTTTTAAGCATTACCATAACCATAACCATCATTAAATTACTAGATTTTCTAAAATCAATTGCATGCTATTGATGATAATAAAGTTCTAATATAAAATACTGACTTGAAAAATTGTAACCAAAAATATCATAATTCTTTCAAGTTATTAACTTCTGATATGATGTGAACATCTAGTTATATGATAGCTATAATATTTATATAACTCATACAAAGTCATCACTGTTTTTTTTTTTTTATATATATAATATTTCATTAAAAAAGAATTTGTTGCTTTTTTGAATTCGCAACATTAGCTATGATCATAGATTCATAGTTTGACCTGTATTCAGTGTCCTAATTTCAATCACTGTTAGATATAATTTATTTTCGTTCATTATTGATATGCTTGAATTATTACACTCAATCCGTCCTTTGTGTAACAGGTGGAAATTCAGCATCATCTTTTAAACGGAAGGAACCCGAAAATCCTGGTGGACTCTCAGTTGCTGCTATCATCTCGTGATACTTCTCTGACTCTATAAATCCATTTATGTACTTCAGTCATAATTATTTAAATTAATAATCATTTTAGCGGATGTAACGATAAAGATGTATGATTGAAATTCAATGAAATACATGACATATTTACTTAAAAATTTTAATTAAAAAATTGAAAAAATATTTCTATTATCATTGTTTTTATCATTCTTTTATAATTAAAATATTTGTTAATGATTGTTAATATTCAATACTTCTTAACATTAATTTACAAAAAATATCTAAAATATTATCTTAAAATAAATTAAAAAAATTCATTCTCTAAAACTATTAATATTTTATCCATTATAGTTTTATAATATTGTATTTAAAATAAAAATTTGATTAGTAAATTATTTTATATCATAATAGATTATTTAATTACACATCAACCAAAACTATAAATATAAATTATTCAATAAAATTTAACTAATATATTTAATTTATTAAAACATTATATATATATATATTTTGAAAATAATACATATTAACATTTTTTTTATTATTTTATTTTTTCATTATAACAATTTTTTAAAATTATTTTTATATTAATTATTAGTTTCATATTTTTAAATATCTTATTTGTATTTATTTATATTTTAAAATATCTCAATAATTAAAAAAAATTTATTTTTTTTGAAATAAAATTATAATAATAAATATGAAATTTGGATGTGCAAATCTTCATTTTTGTTTAATTTAAAAAAAATTAAAATTTTATGTGCAAAAGTACATTATTGCTTTTAAATAATTGCTCATTAAAAGCTTTTCAATTTTGATATAGCAAGTAGGAAAATTTGATTAATCACTAGATTTTAGTAAATACACATTAAAAATTTAATGCCCAAACCATGTAAAAAGTGTTATTTTCACTCTTTTTTTTTTTTTTAAAGTACATATTCATTTAAGAATAAAATTCGTCAGAATTATTTCTCACTAGTGGATAATGCATTGAAAATGATAGTGAATCTCAACACGGTTTCCACTTGCAAAAAAAATACAAATTTTACTCTTAAATGGATATGTTAAGCGATCTTAAATCGTTACTGTGTATAAATATATTCATTAAAAAAAAAAAAATTATTTGGAATAAAGTATTTGTAACAAGTATTATAGTAAAAACACTACAGAAGAATTCTTAAATAGAATGTATATGAAAAATGAGAGTGAAAAAAAGCAAGGGACAGAATAGAGAATATACTAGTACCTGACATGGAGTCTGGCGAACGGCCGCGCAACACACCCGCGTAGCTATTTATGCAGGCTTCAGTGGATAATAAAAAGAAAAAAATTACGTCAAGTAAAGTCAATTATTGGGGCCCCCCCTTTAGCCCCTAAAGAAGTTGTTTAATTTGAGAGGGTTTAGAAGCAAGGAAAAAGAAAACATAAAGTAAGTAAAATAAAAATGATAAATAGTATGAGAACAAAGGATTTTAGATAAGTAGTATTTATTTAATTATAATATCTCACTGTCATTTTATTAAATCTCAGAAATTGAAAAAAATTAAATACAAAAATAATTAAATTTCATTAAAACTAGAAACATTGTTTGATACATTTTTAAATAACTTTTAATATTTATATATTTTATTATATTATATATTATAAATCAGATTATTTGAAACAATATCTCAAAATCAATTAAATTACATGTAATAAAAAAGCATAATTAAATTAATAATAAAATTTTTTGAAACATTATTTTATATAATATAGAATGGATCATAATGGAAAAATCATTCATCATGTGTATAATGTTTTATACTTTTGCATGTATCTTATTGTATTGATTTGCAAAGTATCTTGATTATTATTAAAAATACAAAAAAAAGTTTTGAAATAAAAACTAAAAACTCAAAGTTTCAACATTTATACTTTTATTTCTATTGCTTTAAATAGATATTTATGATTTGTATAATATACAAAGATATTATATTTTGAAAGAAATAAGAAATTTTATGCAAAATTAGAAAAAATATGCTATTATCAAAAACATCATCCATTATTTCATTAAAAATTTATTCATTTATTAAAGTACTTTATTTTTCTTGTTATTATTAAAATTTTTATATTATTAAAATTGTCTTTCAATATTTGAATATAATTTGTATTCAATATTGAATATAATTATATTTGTATTGAATATAATTATATATATATGTGTGTAGAAAAATTAATTTTAATATGTGATTAATTTATAAAATTAAAATTAAAAAATTAAGTCTATAATTTATATATATATTTTTTAATTTCATTATAATATATATAATGAAATTATTTAAATGTTTTATGTTACGTAATATGAAACAATATTTTGAAATTTATATTGTTAAAAATAAATATAATATTCATTTTTTCCTGTAAATATACAATTTCATTAATAAATTTATGTTATTATAATTATAACATATGTCATGTAAAAATAGATGAATATATATTCATATATTCATTAAAAATATTTATATTAAAATATATACAATCATAGTTTATGCAAATACTGTATATACAGTAAAGTTAAAATTGTGACAAAAAAGAATATATGTAATGTATAAATATTTTAAAAAATAAAGATGTTTGAAAATTATTTTATTTTAAAATAAAAATTGTGAGGTATGTAAATAGTAAATTGTAACAAATTTTCATTCATACGCATACGTACATACGCGCACAAATACACATACATACACATACAAATAATATAAGCATATAATGTCAATTTCACGTGAATGATATATCTTTATCGTCAACTCGCTCTATTGTAAAATCTATATTATTTTTAATATGATATAAAATATTTATATCATACCTGTATTTTGTACTATTTGTACAGTCGTTCCTGAAGGAGGTTCTCCAGATCCTAATCCTGCTGTAGATACACTAGCACAGTCTACTTCATCTCGTTTACCATCTAATCTAATTTTAAATAAAAAATGTAATTTATTATTTAATAATATCTTATTATTTATAATTAGAAAACTTAGGAAATTAATTAAATAAAATAAATTATTTTTACAAGTAAAATTTGTTAAAAATAATAAAATATAACAAATATATAATATATAATTATACAAATATATAATTATATAAATATATAATATATAAATATACAAATATATAATTCTATTCTTTTTTATTAAATTAGTCTTTCAACTATAAAAGAATGTAGGATAATTTATTTTAATTCATTATAAATATGAATTTTTTATTTAAAAATTTTAATGATTAACTCTTAATCTTAGAAATTAATTTGATAGGAAAAAAGGAATTGAAAGTTATTTAATCATTTGAATGTTTTACATTATATTATACAAGTTTGTTAAAGAGTTTGTTTAGAGAGTTAAAGAATATACTGAATGGCATAATTGTCATATGTAATAATTATTATAGTTAATTAATTATAACAATAAATTAATTAATTATAACAATATTTAATATTATTATGTTAATCAATTTTCAGAGTTTAATTAAATATTGATTAGATTAAAAATACTTTATTTTTAAATATTAAAAATACAAACCTATGTTGTTTTAGCAATGTACAATCTCCACCTTCTGTTGAATCCAAATTATAAACATACAAATATCCCTCAGCACTAGCCACCAACAACCTAAGTACTTTATGTACTCTACATAATAAAAAATATATATACATTTAAAAAAAATATACCTATTTATATATTTATAATAAATATTTATTTAATTGAACTTACACTGTGATGGCACAAACATTTTTTAATCCTTGAAATGGCAAGTGGACACTAGCAAAGGCACGTCCTTGATTAAAAACATCAGTTACTTGTGATGGCAAATAATTAGCTGATGCAGATACAGCTTTTGTTAAATATCCCATCCAAGTTTGTGATTCTTCTGCTGTTTGTCGTAATCTATAATTGCGAATATAAAATTTAAATATAATAATAATTCAAAACATCAAATAATGATATATTACTACATACGCTTCCTTTGGTTCTTCCAATTTGAAAATATGTACTGTTTCTGTATTACTCGAACAACAAAGGAACATAGAATCCACACTAAAAGCAAGACTGCTTATAGATACACATCGTTTAACTCCACGTCGGAATTCAAATAATTTTGTACCATCATGAACCTTTAGAGATATAAAATATTTTTAGCAATATATTTAAATTTATTAAAGAAATAATTAATACCATATAAATAATTAAACTTACGTGAAAAACTCTGATTACAGTACCCTTTTCAGAAGCAGTAGCTACTTTGGTACCATTAGGACTAAATGCAAGTGCTGCTAATGGACTATCATGAGCAGGAATCATAGTTTTAGCTTGCTAAACACAAAACAATTAAATGTATTAATATTTTATACATTTATATATATATTTTTTTAAGATTTTTTTTTATAATACTTACAAGATTAATTGCATCAAATATTTGAACTTCACCAATTGTATTTGAGCCTGGATAAGCTAAGTAGCAATTATCACTATTTATTGATAGTGTACACAGACCTGCTAAATTAGGTGGAGTATCTCGAATTGTATGTAATACTTTCATATCCCTTATATTATGAATATATAATGATTCTTCCAAACATACCACTAATCTCTGTAAATTTATATTATTTTATAATATAAATATTTATATTTAATTAAATTATGTTAAAGAAAAATACATATTATTATTATAATAATTATTAATAGAAACTTATTTGCATGAAAATTTTATATATAAAATTTTTATTTTTATAATTTACAAAAACAAAAATAAAATTTTTTTACTAAACTTTTTTTTATTTATTGAATTTTTTATCATAACTAATCTATATCCAAAATCATTATATTGAATCAGTCATTGAAAAACTGCTATATCTTATAATTAAATTACTACATTTTTTATTTAATTTTTTTTGTGATTTATTTTAATTATTATTCCAAAGATCAAAAATACAAACTAGTTTCTATTATTATATTATTAGTTTTATTATTTTTTAGTTATTTTATTAAAATATAAAAAAACTTACTGCTCTATTGAGTTTCACAGCTAAGATAGTATTAGAATAACTATAATGGCAAATTTCAGTGCCCTTTCTAAAGTGACAAACTTTAAGTTTACGGGGTGATCTTAAACTAACTACTGCCACAAGACTGCTGCTGAATAGTCGTTCAACAATGTATATATCTTCAGTATCTATATTTTGTATAATTAAGAAAATTATGTATACAAAAAATATAATAAAAAATATAAAAGATATATTAAAGAAAGATGATAATATAAATACTAAATTATGGAATTCTTAAAATATGAAAAAAGTTTAGCTATAATGACTGAATACAGAAGTTTCAATATCTATTTTATATTGTTATATTTCAATATTTATATAAATTTATAGAAATTTGTTACCATTTTCATATATTTTTTCAAGATGATCAACAGAGACTAAAGAAAAAAGCTTGTAGCCTGACTTTGATCCTACTGCCAAAGATCTAAAATAAATTTTATATAAAATTACTATTATTAAATCAATAATATCAAATAATATGAAGAAAATAAATATATTAATAATTATTGTATATTGATAATTATTATTTACAATTTATCAATATTAAAATATAGAACATTATGTATTAATCAATGATTATAATAAAAATATAAATTAAGAAAGAAATAGTAATTTTTTATTTTAAAATAACTTAGAAATAGAACAACTAAAGAAATAACAAGATAAAAACAATGCATATAGAAATTTTTCTGATGTACAATATTCAATTTGAATCATAATTATATCAATAATACGTAATTAATAGGTAAAGGAATAATATACGTAACGGAAACATTACAAGAAATGTAAAATATTATATATAATAAATAATATTATATATAATAAAAGAAATAAAAATAAATTAATTTGTAAGATAAATATTTATAACTTATTTCTTAAAAAATACTTCATTTGAATAATGAAGTAAAAGTAAGGTTAGTGAACAAAGGACAATGTCTTCACAAACAAAAATGCAACACTTACGTGCAATCCTGATTGAAGTTAACAAAGAAAACACGACTTTGAGGATCAGTAGTTTGATTTGCGAGGTTCATTAGTCCTGATATACTGTATTTTAGTCCCTGTGTCAATACATCCACGTTATGCACGAGATTTTGCATAAATCGCACAGACGGTCTGCGTAAGAATACTTTATCCGCTTCTTTCTTAATTTCTTTTTATATCTTTTTCTCTCTTTATTTTTATTGCCTTTTTTTTTATCTGTTTCTCTTCTTTCTTGTACATACGCTAATACAAATACACGCACGCGCACGCTTATACAAGATTTGTGAACAGATGTCGAACTCAATGTCGACGATTCCTACAAGTGACTATATGATGCAGTATACTGTATTGTTTAATACATATCCATCGTTCCATGTATCGAACAGCTGACAGTCTATGTTGAATTCACGGAATGATGAAACTGAAACATTAAATTTTATATAATATATTATCACAATAATTAAAAATTATTATTACAAATAATCAAATACTATAATATAATATAAATATTAATATTTTTTATTGTGCTATTTAATTAAAATTTTAGTCTAAAATGTGTGATTGTATTTATAAAATTATTTGTTGTTTTTTTGAAATTTATAATGTTTTATCAAATCTAATAAATATAATAAAAAATTAATTATATAATTAATTATCTCATATCTCAATAAAATATATTTGTAAAAGTTATTTTTTTAAAATTACATTTTATTTAATTTAATTAAGTAAAATACGAAAAAAATATTTCAGAATAACGGAATAACGGATTGAAATTTTATTTTTTAATAGTTATTCATAAGTTATAATATATTACTAGAAAGAAATAAATTTAGAAATTTATAATTTATATTAATATATTATGTAAAATATATATTATTGAAAAGTTGAAAATAATTTCAACTTATATATATATATATATATATATACATATATTTCTATATTATTTTGTAAAAATATTAGTAATTAAACATTTCAGCTTTTCATTAACCATCAATATTATTTATGTCAATATAATTTTATAATTATAAATTAATAAAAGTTGATTTCTTTAAATTTATTTAAGTAAACAAAATTATTATTCTATAATTTTACAATAATTGTAAATTAGAAGAATTCTTAAAAAATAATGAATTTTATCGTAGTTTTTTTTGATAATTATATCTAATATACATATACATATATATATATATATATGTATATGTATATTTATATATATATGTATATATAATATATGGATAATATATGTATAAATGCACACACATATGCACATATCACACATGCTTTGTAGTTGTATACTTTTATCTTCGTTGTAATACTTAAGCGTTCAGTAGTGCTACAGCAATAGTAGCGGTAGTGTTAAATGTGAATGTTTAGTTTATTTGGTATGAAAGATTTATTAGTTCCATTAATATTTATTTTGTGTGTATAATGTGAAAGTATGAAGCATGAGATAAAAAATAAATAATTATCGTGTAAATTAATATTTTAATACTAATCCTCAAATTGGTTATATTAAGATTTTACATATTTAAATTTACTATAATCCTGGAAAATATGGATATATTTGGTCTTCATCAATTTGTTGCAGCACCAATAAAAAATCTTTTACAATTCCAACGTATTAAAGAGTAAGATGTAACAATTTATATCAATTAACAAATGTTAACCTGTCTACATATCTTTCTAATATCTTCTTAATTCGCTTAACTTATGCAACTAGTGAAATAATTGCTATTTGAATTAATGTGTAACATTATTAGAAAAATAATTAATAATGTTTCATTTTTGCATGATATCTTATATATTTTTAATTATAAATTTTTTTTAATTATAAATTTTGGCTTTTATTTTTATTTGATTTTTATCTTTATTAAGATGCTATAAAAAGTAGTATTTTAATGTAGCATGTTATATTATGTTATATAGTATTATTCTTGTATCTGAATGAAATCTTAGAAGTTTATTTTCATAATATAACTGAATTTAACACTTTTATATAAGAAACCTAAGAATGTGCATAACTGTTGTATAACAGAAAAGTATTTTTGTTCAATAAAAAAAGAAAAGTTACATTTATGCATTTTTATTTTTATTCTCTTCAAATAAATTTCCTATATTATATTTTCCAATTTCATTATGTGTTAGTAAAATCAAAGCATTGCATGTATTGAGTACTTTAATTGAGCATATTCACATAAATAGAATGCAATGCTATGTGCTTATAAGTGGATGGATAAAAATTTTTTTCAATTAATGTTATTTATGTAACATTTAAATATCATTATATCATATAGAATATTATATCTTCATATTAACTTTATTATATTTTGGAAAATGTTTATTATCATTAAATATAAATTGTCAACTATTATGAGAACTTATATATTAACATTTACTCAATTCTAATTTTTTTCATTTATAAAATAATTTAAAAATTTTTAATTTATTTATTATTGTAAATTTATAAAATTATGTTTATTAAGCAGTTTTTATATTATTCATTTATAATAATATTAAGTAATATATTCAATTATAATATCATTATACTTATAATAATGCAATTCAAGAATATATATATTACATTAAATTATACAAATATTTATTTTATATTTTTAGGAATTATTGATTTTTCATAGTTCATATTATAATTATTATACAAACATTTAATATATTATGTACATATGACATATATATTTAAAATACATTTAATATGCAATTATATCTTTATATATGGCTAAATTAAATAATATATTAAATATATTTTAAATTTTAAATAAAAGAAAATAGTAATATTGTTTTATTAAATACAATATTATAATATTTTGATATTATAAATGATCTTCAACAGTTATATTTTGTAATATTTTATATGTTCACTATTTTTATCCTATTGCTTTTTTCAAATATATTGTTTTAATTTTTACTTTAGAAATAATTATATTTTATATGTATACATATAATAAAATTTACATTAAGAATTAATAAAAAAAATTTTCAAAATATATTTTATAGTTTTTATAAATTATAAATAACTCATCAGCTATTTCTCAAAATTTTTTTATTTTGATTTTTATATTTTATTATTTTAAAAAATTAATTTTTATAATAAATTTTTATAATAATAATTATTAAAATCATTAATGAAAATATTTTTAATTAAAATAATAATGAACTTAAAAATTAATAATTAAAAATACTCAGTTTCTTTATTAAATTTAAAAGAAATAAAATAGCATAATGATTTCCACTTTCAGTTATTTTTTTAATCAAAATATATTTATGATCTAAGAAAACATTTTTTTGAAAAAAAATTAATAATGAAGTAATAATTAGAATAAGTAATTTATATTTGAAATTTCTTTAACTTTTCTTTTATTAAATTCAATAATTTTATTAAATTATTAAATTAAAATTCCTTTAAATTTACCAATTTCTAAAATTCTTTTAATTCAATTTTTGCTTATTGTAAGCAATACTAAGCAATGTATAGGCGGATATAAAAATATATATAAAAAAGTTGATATGAACTTTATTCTTATTATTCTTTTTGAATTATATATACAATGTATTTTATACATATTTGATATATATAATATATATAATGCATGTATGCAAATTTTAATAATATATAAAAAAATAAAATAAGTATATAAGTAGTATAAATATAATTTATATATAAATTATTTAATAACATTTAATAAATTTAATAATAGTAATATTTAATAAAATTATTATAAAATAATATAAAATTTCTTTAAAATATAAAAAAAATATAAAAAATTTAATAAAAATTTTTAATTAAAAATTTAAAATTTTACTTAAAAGAATGATGTAATGGTGTTATTTAATATAATAAGTAAAAAAATGTTTTTATGTCTCAATTTTATTCAATTATATTCAAAAAGTATAAATTTATATTAAAAATTTAATAAAATATATAAATATATATATAATATTTTTTCAAGAACAATTTTTCATATAATATATATATATATATAATTATATAATTATATTATAATTTTATTAAATTATATTCATTCATATATATATATTCAATAAATAAATAAATATGTAAATTTAAAAAAATGAATGAAAATTTAAAAAAAATAAGAATAATTAAAAAAAATAAGAATATTTATATGTGTTTAACAAGAAAAATAAGAATATTTATATGTGTTTAACATATTCAAATTTCATTTTTATTCATAGGAAATATTTTTTTGTTTTTCCCATATATTTATTTAAATAATTATGTATAAAAATAATTATATATAGACTTAATATATTATATACATATACATAACCTAATACATATTAAATCATCGTTATTATAACATATATATCATATATATATATCATATATATCATAATTTTTATATCATAAAAAATGAATTATATTTGTTTATTACAGAAAAAACAAGAAATAAAACTCTCTTTAGAATTATTTATTTTGATTATTTTCTTAAAATTTGCAATTATAGATTTTAGAATAAAAATAGTACAAAATATAATTTAAATTATTTTAGTTGTTGGTATATATATATATATATATATATTTATAATATAATTATATGTATAATTTATTATATATGTAGTGACTATTATATATAATGTAATTCTTTATGAAAAAGAAACTTTAATTATAAAAATTTTATTCTAGATTTTTTTATTTAATTATATTTATATTATATTATATTATATTTATTTTCCATTAAAAAATATATTTTATCAATAATAATAAACTAATCTGTATATTTTTTGCTTGATAATAAGATAAAAAAATTATTTTATATTGCATAATCTTATATGTATATTGTATAATCTTAGATTTTTAATTTTGAAGTAATTTTGTAAAAATAATTACAATATATATAATTTAGTTATTTTATGTTATTTTGTACTCTCGTGTTCAGTATTCTTTGAGATGCGTGAGCCAAAGATATGTACTGTTCTAACGATTCTCGGAACAATAAAGATGTAATTTAATTCTAATTCTATGATAATTAATCATACAATAACTATAATTGCTATTCATTGTAAGTATAATATTTCATGTTATATATTCTACTTATTGTCATTTATTCATGAAGTAATTTGGTGAAAGTAAAATCTTTTGAAGAAAGAAAATCTAAGAAAATGCTACATGATTTTTATTATTTATATATTATTACAAATGATATATGAAAAATTTAATAAATTTTTATGTTTTATTATTTTATGATATTTACCTTAACAATAATTAATCATATATATTATATTTTACCAGTCATATAGTTTACATTTTAGGTATATATGTAAGTACTCTAGTATATTTTATGTCATCCTATGTGTTAATATTTTATAACTATCATAATTTTTAAAATATGCTAATTAAAAAAAAATTATTTAAATTTTTAATTAAAAATTTCATTATATATTATATATATATAAAATTTTATACATATATTATAAAGCTTTATTTTTGAAAAAAATAACAATCAATTTTAAACAAATAGTTTTGAAGTTTAATCTAATATATATTGTTATATATCAAATCATCCAGAGTTCGATGAACATACAACTTTGTACCATTTAATATAAAATAAACGTTTATTGAATACTTCAAAATTATAAAAAAAAATGTTAATTTATTACATAATTGTAAATAATAATAAAATTATTTTATTTATTTTTAATTATTTTTATTTCATATGTTTTCAAATAAAATAAAATTTAACTAAATTAATAAATCAATTAAATATAATTGAATATATTCATAACTTATTTTTAAATTTTTATTCGTGCATCAAAATATTTTCCTAAAAATGAATTTTATTTCATTATTTTCATTTATTTATTAATATTTTTTTGAATTTTTTTTTAACAATATTTGCAATTTTGAAATATTTTTAATATTTCAATTTTAAGATGTATAGGTTATATTCTAGATATTATTGTAGGTTAATATTCTAACTATAATTTTATTCATACATATAGAAATAATATAATATAAGAATATAATGCACTCTTAAATTAATTCTAGATATCAAGATAATGGAAATAGTTAAAATACATTTAAATATTTGATTTATTAAATTATGAATAATTTAAAGCATGTTAGAAACGTACGTATATGGGCACGCAATTGATTGTATGTATTACATCCATAAATAAAGTACTCCACCAGCATCATGTGTTGGTGAGTGACGGAAGAGAATATTCCCCTTATTCCTATGCTGTCTCACTAATCATCTTTCTTTATATTATACTTATTTGAAGTGTCATAAAACATCATACATCGTGATTTTTTAATAAAAATTAGTTTATTTTTTATATTTTATTGGGATTTTTCTGTTGAAAATGATAAGAAATGTATGATATTTTGATTATATAAATAATTGATCAATTTGGATTATGTAGATAATTGTATAGACCAAAAAATTATTTAATAAATTTTTTTTTTTCAATTAATTTGCTTTTTATTTTAATAATAAGAATATTGAACTAAAGACAAATGGCAATTTAAATTTTCAATAGAATATAATATATATTGTAAGAATCTATCGATATTTGAATTATTATTAATACTTATGCGTTATATTTATATTCAATATTGATATCTTATTTACATTATTATTATTGTTATTTTATCTTCATTTACTCGATTTTTTAAATTTTTAATTGCTACATATGATAAGTACAAGATTATCAATATTTATTGCATATATAGTTCAAAATTCTTTTGTTTATATTTCGCAAACTAAAAAATAAAAACATGACATTATATATTTATATTTATACATCAATTTAATCAAAAAATTCAATTTAATAAGATTTTTTAATTTTTTTTTCAGTTGAAATCGTTAGGTTAGGTAAATTTTACTATTGTATTAAATTATAATTTTTTAAAATTCTAAATTTAAAAAAATATATAATCAGATATAAATATTTTATATGCAATATATGTAGATGTATTTCTAATCAAAGTTGAATAATTCATTAAAATTTGGATTAAATAAAAATTTTATAAACAAAAATTTGAAAATATGTAATTAAATATATTAAAATATCAATACATTTTATTTTTCTTATAATATAAATATATTCTTAAATTAAAAATAAAAAAATATATCAAATTTATTAATATTAAAAGATATTAAAAGATTTATTAATATTAAAAGATAATATACAATAAATATATTTAATAATAAGAATATAAGTTAAGAAAAAATAATTGTATCTTGATATGGAATAACGAAAATGAAATACGATGAAATAACGATATCCTATATAATTAGTTTTTCTTAGCTAACCAAGTTTACCACTGAAATATAATACTGTTGAAGAATAAGCTCGAGTATTATAAATTATTTGCCAACTATCATAAGAGAATGAATATGATGATGAACTATGTATAATAATAGTTTTTATATTTTTAAAAATATTCTTTCATTTGAATAAATGTTAATCATTTTATAATCATGTGACACAAATTTTTAATTATACATAATTTTATTTAGCGATGTTTGACCTGAAAAATTAAAATTAAATTTATTATGTATTCAACCTATCTACCTTTGTTAAAAATATTAATTGATAATCCGTATTACAAATAATATTAGTATTTGATATTAACATATATAGATAGAAAGATAATAAATTTATCCAATACATAATTAAAAGGTTATGCTTATGTCAGCTTGACAATAGTAAAGCTATTTTTAAAAATTTGTAATTATTCAATTATTTTAAAACCAATTTAAAATTAAAATTCTAATCAAAATTAAATTTCTATCATAAATATGTATAAAATTATATATTAAATATTTTATAATTTTAAATATATACATATAAATAATTATTAATATTAAAAAAAAATAAAACAAAAAAATTCTATCAAATCGATATATAAAACTTTAATAAAACTTTTGCAGAATAAAATGGATGAATCCTCCAGCATGTACTAATGAAGCATATACACCTACCTCTGTAGAACATATAGCAAATGTAACTACTCATGGAATTTGGGTTGTACCATCTGTCATAGGTAGCTTGGAACTGGTTCGTCGTTCTATAACATGGACTCAATTAATATCAGCTTATGTATATGGTACATCTTTGATCCTTGTTTTCACAGTCTCAACATTTTTTCACAGTGTACATTACTGCAATAATAACAGGTACTTGTAATTATATTCGATTGATGGAAAATAATGTCGGTTTATAAATGCAAAATATAAATCGGTTTACTATAGCGTACATCCAATTTTGAAATTTTCATTTTAATAATTTTTATTTGCATAAATATTTTAAAAATATGTATAATTTATTAATAAATATTTTTTATTTGTTTTTGTTTAGCATTTATTTTATTAAAATGGAATTCTTCATTATTAATTATGAATATATTTGATCGAGATTTATCTTATGCATATGATGTACTTACATATGATGTACTTTGAAATTTCGATCATGAAATTTGGAAAACTATTAATTTTAATTCATATTTGTTTTAAAAATGTAATAAATATTTATTTAATAATATTTTTATTAATAAACATATTAAATATTTTTTTAAAGTTGACTTAACATGATTATAAAAAAACAATGTATTTTACATCACACAATATAACTATAACTATTCAATCTATAATTTTTAAATTTGGACGAAAATCAAGTATTTTATGAACATAAAATATAATTCTTCTCTAATAAAATACAAAATATAATTCTTCTCTAATAAAATAAATTAATAATAAACAAATATTTGAAATTTTATTATCTTATGTAGATTTAAAAATGATATAACTTTTCCATCAACCTAATATATTTTAAGTTAATTTGATATTTATTACTTTCTATTTATGAAGCAAAAATTAAGAATAATAAATAAAATTTTTAATAAATTATATATTACAGACAACTTAAAGAAACATTACATCGTTGTGATCGTGCTATGATTTACATTTTTATTGCTGCAAGTTATTTTCCTTGGTTCAATGTAGATCATTTCCCAGATGATGAAATATTATTTACAATGCGTTATGCTATTTGGATTATGGCAACACTGGGCATATTATATCAACAAATCTTTCATGAACAATATAAAATGTTAGAAACAATTTTTTATTTAATTATAGGAATTGGTCCTAGTATTGCAATTATTAATGTAAGTATACAATTATAAGTTAGAAGATTTTAAAAGATCATTATTATTAAAATTATTAATATGATCAAATATTATTTGAAATTATATATTTTAATATTTACAGTATAGTTATTATAATATTATTGAATTAAAATTGGGAGGACTGCTTTATATTTCTGGCTTATTGTTTTTTAAATCTGATGGAAGGATACCATGTGCACATGCAATTTGGCATCTTTTTGTTGCTGTAGGAGCTGGTCTGCATTATTATGCTATATTAAATCATGTCTTTCCTATAGTTTGTCCATCAGATAATTTTATGACAGATGTACCATCATTACCAAAATTATTAAAATCTAATATTGAAGAATTATAAAATCTTCTAGTTTTGTTTTTCATTGTATTAAATGAAATCAATTTTACAAATTGGAAGTTTTAAAATTGATAAAATATCAAATATTAATTTGCAAATTTAAGGTAAGACTATTAAAATAAAGTTTTTCTAATTATTTATAAAATTTTAAGAAGTAGAAATTATCATCATGTATGAAAAATGTACTACTTTTAGAAAGTAACAATATTATGTACCTGAAATATACATAAAAAAATATTATTCATAAATTATGAATACTTGTCAAAATATAAATAAAAAAGATAGAGATAATAAAATTAGAGATAATAAATTACTTAGCTATTACAAGATTATAATTTAAGATATAATTTTCTATGTATTTATACAAGAAAAGTAACTTATACATTTAATAATACTTTTTGTAAATCAATAATGGTAAAAAAAATATAAATATAATATTATAAAAAAATAAAAATATAATACAAAAATGGAATATACTATATTTATCCAAATATATTGAAAAATAAGACAATTTAAATAATATAATAATAAGTAGTTATTCTTTGATTCTTTGTTCTGTTAGATTTCAATTTATTATTTATAATAAATGATATTAATAATAATAATTAATAATATTATTAAACAAGAATGTGGTTATCTATATTTATACTATATTAAATTTACATAAAATATTATTTTTATCAACTATATTCTGATACATTCCATTTTGTCTAGAAATAATTCAAAATATTATAAATAATATGATTTGAATATTATTCAAAACAAAACATGAATAATCATTAATTTGGAATTTATAATAAATATATGTATTTTTTGTAATGATATTGTTTTATATTATTGTAAATACATATATGAAAGACATATTGATACATATAAATAATATTATGAAAATTAAACTAAATATTGTAATAAAATTAATTAGGATAAATGAAGTTTTACAGTAATAATGACTTGAATGATGCATAACATATTGTATACATTATTCATTTAAAATAATGTATAGCAATTATTTTTTAATAATATTAGATAGATTTTTTATAATATATTATATTTTATAAAAATCCGTTTCTATTGTGGGACTAAAATATAATTTTGTAATTAATATTTATCTAATAATGAATGAGAAAACTATTGTAATTGTTTAATAACTCATTTTCTATATTTATAATAATGTGCCAAAATTTATATTTATATTCAAATTATATATTCAAATTTCTATAACATCCATTATTAATTTTACACAGAATAGAAAATGCTATACAAAAAAATATATTCTATATTCTATAATTGTTAATAAGTATTTTTAATTTTTTTTCTTAAAAATATGTTGTAATTGTAAAAATATATTGACGATATATGTAATTATTATTTTGTTCTTTTCTGGTTTATTACGCAACAAAAAAATATGATTATAATGTATGTTACTAATATTGTAAATTAATAAAATACTTGATATATATGTATATACAAATAAAAAATTAAATCTTTATAATCAAATGAATAGAAATAAAGTAGAAGTCATTATTTTGAATGTATATTAAAATATATATATATAAATATATTCATGAAACGCAATATAAATAAAAAATATAATTAAAAAATTAAAAGTCCGTATTTTTACGTAAATTATAAATAATTTATATGGATATCTATATTTAAGTACTTTTAATATATTAATAATCTTTTTAAGACTATTAAAATAATCTTTTATTTTTCTCACGGAATTGTTTCTTATGAGGTTAAAGCTTATTTAGATGTTTCATGAACATATAGTTTCATGAAATATATATTCACATAAAAATACTGAAAATTATATAAATCAATTCATTTATTATTCATTTATTATTCTTCTATAGTTCTATCGCAATCAATTTAAAAATCAATCACCTTTCAAAATTATTCGATTAATATTGGTAAATTAGTTAAAAATTTTTTTAAGAAATTCTAGTTTTATTATTGATTATGAATAATTTTAAATTTCGTTTTTTATTTAAATACGATTTAAATAATGAAGCAAATTCATAGACTGACAACATAACTATCTAAATAAATTTGAGAAGTTAGGTAAATTTGATTATTTTAATGATAGATATAATAGAATTACAAAATAAGATTGGCCGAACATATTATATCATAGATAAAATTATATGACACTGCGTATCAATGAGTGAGCGAAAGTCATTGGTGGGACAATAAAAAAAATAATTTTCCTTTTTTATTGATTAATAGAAATATTATTAATAGATATAAAATATTATATGATCTCATTTATAAATAGTCTAATCAATGTATGTGTTTATTTGTATGTTATTTGGTTTTAAAGAAAATAACTAAAATTTTTTTCACATAATATAAATAATAAAAATAGTTCTTTTCGAATGAGTTTCATATTTTACATAATAAAATAACATCATAAAAGCGATATTTATAATTTATAATAACGATTTTTATAATAACGAATTTTTTAGCTCATTAATTGTCTATGGCAATACTGTGCGTTTGTGTTATTACTAAAGATATTGATTTAAACTTTTTTATTATTTGAACAAAGTTTTATATATTATATTTATTATATATATATATATATGTGTAATATATTTTTATATATTTGTGTTTTAATTATATTATAATTGAATACAAGAGAAAGAAATCATATATTATTGAATTAATTTGTCGCGTGCTAAAGAATTGAGAAATGTTTTCTATGAATTTATTTAAAATTAATTTTTTTAAACGATTAAAATATTTTCATAATAATACTAATATTATGATTAATAATTATGCATTAATCAATAAAAAATGTAATGTATTCTTATCAATGAAATCAGTATTGTATCCAGATCATAAAATAATTTATATATTTCCTTATATTAGAATTCCTTATATATTAAATAAAATAAAGCGTAATTGCACAATTCTTTTTGGTGTAAATGTACCAGTAACTGTATCTTTACACATGTGGAATTATATAACATTGAATGAAAATTTAAATACTTTATTTTACAGTAAGTTTGAATAACATTTAATATTTTTATAATTTTTTAATTGTGTTTCATTAAATGTGAAGTTTTATTAATGTTATTTATTTTAGCTTTTTTATTAACCTTCATATTACATGTTATTACTCGTCCATGTAATAATTCAGTTGGATCAATATATCTCCAAGAAAATGAAAAAGATTTCAGACATCAAAAAATTATAATATCATATGTGAATTATTGGGGTAAAAGAATAAATTTCGAGACTGTTGTTAAGAATATTATTTTTACAAACAATTCTAATCTTAAATTATATAACAATTTGAGTATTATATCGTGTAAAAATGATTTGAAGATATTTATTAAATATGGAAAAATTATAGAAAAAAACCATTTTTATAGTATTTTTAATAATTTTTCATAATTATTATTAATTTGATTAAATAAGTGATAAGTAATAATATAAATAAGTAATAATATATATATATATTATTTATTATTATTTATATATATATATATACATAAATAAATATTGCTATTATAATGAAGAATAATTTTATTTTTAATTTTTTTTTTATTATTTTATATATTTTATATCATAATATTATATATTTTAATATTATTTTTAATATTTTTTTTACAACCATCTGTAATGTGCATAAGCTCGATTTGCTTCGCATAATTTATGTAATTCTTGTTTCTTTTTAATAACTCGACCCTGAAATATGAATTAATAATGATTAAATGCAATTTTTATATTTTAAAAATTTTGTTTATATAAAAAAAAATAATTTGTATCATTATATTATATACTATTTAAATGCATAATAAGTTAAAAGCATGTAAATATACTTGATTTTTTGCAGCATCAATAATTTCTTTTGCTAATACATTAGAAAATTTGTCTCTATTTCCTTTTTCTTGTGCAGTTTCAATTAGCCAATTTATGGATAAAAATCGAGCTCTATTATCATTCATTGGTACTGGAACCTATATTTATGATATTAATATCAATTAATTTATTTATTAAGGATTATTTATATAAAGAAAATTAAATTATATAAATATATAATTATATAAATATATAATTATATAAATATAAATTATTATATAAATTATTTGTATAAATTAAATTAAATTAAATATACCTTATAATTAATTCCACCTCTTGTTATTTGTCTTAATTCTAAAATGGGTGTACAATTTTTTACAGCATGATGCAAAAGTGTCTTTGGATCCAATATTATATTTTCTCTATATTCAGGTGAAGTATTATAATATTCATTTAATTTTATTATTTTAATATTTTCAAAAGTTTCTTCTAATAATTTTTTAGCTAATTGTTTTTTACCTTTTCTCATAATAAAGTTTATGAACTTTCTAATGTATAAAATATATATAATTATTTAAAAAGAGATAAAAAAAGAAAATAATATAAGTTTTATGATAAAAAATTTACCTAACTAATATATCATGAAATTCAGAGCATGTTTCAAAATTAGAAGCTGGTTTTATAGGTGCATATATTAATTGTTTTATTTTTGCGTTTTTATATATTAATTCTTGTTCATCTTTTTTATAAATTGGTTTTATATAATTTGGTGGGAATACACTATAAAATTGAATATCATTTCCTAAATTATATCTATAAAAAAAAATATTATTTTACATAATATCATATAATAATTGATAGTAAAAATATTTATTAAAATATTTTATGTATATTTAACAACATTATATGCAATATAATTATGAAATTTATTTAAATAAAATTTATTTTTAATAAAGATTATATGATTAATTTTCATTTTATATGATTAATGATACATAATGATGTATTATAAATATACAATAACATGCATCAATTGATATTGAAATTCGAATAATATTACCTTAAATTAGATAGTATTCTTGAATAAAATATTCTTCCAAGGACCATTTTTAATTTTTATATCTATTTTAATAATTTTATTTATATTTAATTGTCTTGTCAAATTCAACACTATGACAATATTTAAAACTATATAAAATATTAATATATAAAATATTAGGCTATATAAAATATTAAAGTTTATAATACAATAGATAATTTAATGTATGAAATAAAAAATTTTATTAAAATTAATATTATTATTTTAATACTTTCAATTGAGAAAAATATAATGAGAGGAAAATATCATGATTCGTAAATATTTAAATATGCGAAATATATCTTTACATTTTAATGTAAGAAAGTAATTTTCTTGATAAAGTTGATACTAGCGCCTACAATGATAAAGCGTAGAACTATAATAGTTCGAGAATTCCTTCATAGAGTCTCTAGACTTCTAAAAACATGTATAGAAAACGAAAATAAGTGAGCAAGCAGAAACAATTTATACAAACATAAGAATTTTTTTTAATACAAGAATTTTTTTAAATAAATTATTAATTCTAGTATAGATCAATGTAAACTTACCATTATATTTCTTTTTCACTTATACTCACGTGTTATATTGAATGGTACGTATATCATTGTTGTTTCGGTTTCGTCAAATAAGTGAACGTGATAAACTTATAACAAAGTGTATTTTTTTAAATAGAAACAGTGTTATATTACAATTAAAATCAAGCGTTTCACAAAAAGAGAGAGTAAGATTTTTTTATATAGTGATTGCAAAGGAACGAAATTGCACAAATGGTGCATTCATTGCGGAATACATATGCTAGATTGTTAAAATCTTGCGGAAAGGTCTCCTAAAAGGAGTGCCTTTAATAAGAGATTTTTCTTCTGATAGTCATCTATCAAGAATATTAAAAAATGACGGAAAATCGGGGAAATTTTTCAACACCAACTACTCAAAGTAAGTTATAATGTCATAAAATTAATGATAAATATATGAAAGATTTTATATACATAACCTAAACATTAATTTCGTTATTGATAAAAAATAATAATTTTATTGGATATACATATAATATATGTTAAATTATTTATATAATGGTATTATTAATATTTAGGTTCTAGTAGACAATTTAATTTCCAACATTTGGATTTTGCATCTATTAATGATGTTCAAAATGAAATGTCAGGTATAGTATCTGTATCTATGCATCATAATATTGTAATGATATAATAATATTTATATTTATTTTATAATAGAAAAAAGAAGACAATTTAAACTTAATTTTCAAACACAAGGAAGTAATATACCACTTAATAATTCAACGAATACTTCTCTTTCTAATTCAACTGGAACTGCAGCCTGTTTACCAATGTAAGTTATGTAATAAGTAAAATAATATTATAACAAACAATATTTATATTTAAATCATAAATTTTTAAATTGTATCTTTTGATATATTTATAATTTTATTTAATAATTATAGATCTTCTCGTCCAAATTTGCCTTTATCTTTGCCTAAACTACCAGTAAGATCTTGTACTGCAGTTCCACAAGAATTACCCGATAAAGCAAGGTATATTTTTGAAATAATCAAATAATTGTTTAATGATATATTTTGATGTAATTTAATGGATTATTATAGGGATAAATTACGAATGTGTCAATCAATGCAAAGTACTGGAAAATTACAGCTATCACCAAATGTAGTATATGATTTTACAAGTGAAGATCTTCAAGATCTAGGAGAAATAGGACGAGGAGGATTTGGCACTGTAAATAAAATGATTCATAGGATAAGTGATACTGTTATGGCTGTGAAGGTATATAATTTTATATATTTTTATTATCAAAGCTATCAATCAGTTCATAATATTATATTTAATTACAGAGAATTCGTTCTACAGTGGATGAAAGGGAGCAAAAACAATTATTAATGGATTTAGAAGTTGTAATGAAATCTAATGAATGTCCATGCATTGTACAATTTTATGGAGCTTTATTCAAAGAAGTAAATCTATAATAAATATTTAATAATAATTATTAAATTCTACATAATGATTAATCTATATAATAAAGTCTATTTAATAATTAAAATTTATAATAAATTATTTGATATTAATATTATATTATAATTTCATATATATTATAATTATTATTATAATTTCATTATTAATAATAATTATTATATCTCTATTTAGGGTGACTGTTGGATTTGCATGGAACTCATGGATACTTCATTAGATATATTTTATAAATTTATTCATGAGGTATTAAAAGAAAGAATACCAGAACGTATTTTAGGAAAAATTACTGTTGCCACAGTAAAGGCGTTGAATTACCTCAAGGAAAAATTAAGAATAATTCATAGAGATGTAAAACCTAGTAATATTCTATTAGATCGACATGGTAATATAAAACTTTGTGATTTTGGTATATCAGGACAATTGGTAGATTCAATTGCACGAACTCGAGATGCTGGATGTAGACCATATATGGCTGTATGTACAATAATAAAGCACATAATTAATATTTAACAAGATTTACAATCAGAAGTATTTAAATTTATTATAATTTTTCAGCCAGAAAGGATAGATCCTCAACGTGCAAAAGGTTATGATGTTAGAAGTGATGTATGGTCATTAGGAATTACATTAATGGAAATTGCAACTGGTTATTTTCCATATCCAAAGTGGAATTCAGTTTTTGAGCAACTTTATCAAGTAGTTCAAGGTGATCCACCACGTTTATCTCCTAATGAAAATGGGAATCATTTTACAATGGATTTTGTGAATTTTGTGAATACATGGTAAATTATTTAATAATCTTAATTATCATAAATTTTAATAAAAAAAAAACGATTATTTATTTTCTGTTTTAGTTTAATCAAGGAAGAGACACAGCGGCCGAAATACAATAAATTATTAGAACATCCTTTTATCAGAAAAGCAGAAGAAGACACTGTTGATGTTTCAGCTTATATAAGTGGTGTTCTCGATAATATGGTTCTCAGGGGATTGACGCCTTTTACTACTAATCGGCATTAAGTAAAAAATATAAAATAATACATATTTGTACCTTAATTTCTATAATTTTTCAAATCCTAAATTTGAGTATTGTAAATGAATAGGTTATTTGCACTTCGATTTAGTATAGATAGTAAAATTAATCAACCGTCGATCATTGTCGATAATAAATCATTTTGTGTAGAATCATATTATCGTGTCATAAAATTCTTATATACATAGTAATTAGAAGTGTTCAAATAACAAGTTGAAATTATTGAATAGTATATAGAAGAGAAGTTCTAAATCAGCTTTTTCATTGGAATTGTAATATGATTTCAATGAAACATGTTTAAAAAAAAATTACGAAAAAAATATTTGTTTCATATCTTTATCTTTACAATTGTTTCAACGACGATAACAATTTGTAATAATGACACAGTAAAATTTTGTCAATAATTAGAAACTTGTACAATATGTAATAATATTGAAAG